CTGGCTCTAAAAATAACAAATAATTTATTAGTTAATATTATTCCTGGCTTAGGGGATAAAGTGTTACTTTCACATTATTATGTAAATAACAAATTAAGAGTATATCATTGGGAATCTTGAAAATTGGGCCTAATTTCTGTCAGAGATTTGAATAATATGTAAAGTATTTAAATCGAGAGAAATCCAATTGTTTCAAAGAAAAGCTTAGACATTATGCATACATGCAGGTGAAAGCAATCTAATTTTGAAATCGTTTATAAATATTAAAAATAATAATAGTCCTAGGTTTGATCCATGTGGAATACCTGAAGTAGCTACATATGGATAATATTGAAACCCACCATGTTCAACAATCTAAGAAAGTTCAACTAAGTAATTTTGAAGATGAAGAAAGTAATGACAATGATATAGTCTCGCAGATCTAACAAGAAATGGTCAAATGTATCAAAAGCTTTTTGAAAATTGCATCTATTCGTAACAGTAGATTTTTTTGACATAAAAACATTGAAATTTTGACTGAAGTATAAATAACGTCGTACAGGATAATTTCAAAAAGCTTACTAAAATTATACAAAATTGCAATGGGTCTGTAGTTGGAGATAACAGTTGAATCACCATTTTTAAATGGGTATCAGTAAGATTTTAATATCATATTATACATAACCTAGTGGTTTATCTAGAATATTTACAGTTTTTTTTATGAGGATGCCTAGGAATGTTATCACAACCAGGTCATTTTATTTTTTAAATTTTTTGGATACATTAAGTAAAGTGTATGTCAAATTCAGATATGTATATGTATGTGATAATGATAATAAAAATGACAAGTTCTGATGTATGATAAAGACGGCTGGAAAGTAGGAAAAAATGTGGAAAAGGCATCATTAATTGATACTGATGGCATCTTCAGCGCTTTGTGCATGTGTAGCGTATGAAACTTGAATGTACCTACACAAGTTAATTCACCAAATTTTCGGTTTTACCCTAGAAATTTCTTGTGTGCTGAAAGCATAGACTGAAAATGTTGAACAAAACGAAATAGCGAACATTTTCTAAAGTTTTTTAATATTTGAATTGTTTATTTTTAATGTAGATAGATAGGTAAGTATTTACCTAGGTATGCATATATGAAAAGTAATTAAAAACTAAAGTAGAGTTATTATGACTTAAATTATTAAAATACATTAAAGCACGTTAGGTAATGTTTTTAAGATCGTCTCGCAAGAATATAAGAAGTAAATCTAATCTAAAAAACTATTTTCCTTTCTGTATTCCTTCAACATAGGTACACATTGGATTACTCATAGGTATCTACAGACTAGATTTAAGTTTAATAGGTATCCATTTCTCAAATAGGTAGATAGGTATACTTTTCCGAAAAAAAAACACATTTCTTGCTATTATTAAGTGAAACTTAAGCCTTTAATTGTGATAGTATACTTAGTAAAATAAACATTGTTCATTTAGGTAGTAATGAAGAAAATACTTTGTCTTTAAAGGAATATAAAAAAACAAAAATTAATTAATATTGTAAGGCTACTGATTCTTCCAGCTGACATTCAATAACAGTATAAAAAACAAGTTTAATATTTCATGCATATTTCTTACCTGTTAGCATCGATGGGAATTCTTGCAAGTAGTATTGAAAGTCTCACTCTTAATTTTACAGAATTTCGCAGCACAGGACTTCTCCATGTTTTTAATAATTATCAAACAGGCAAAATATTAAATACATTTTTCGAACACTTTATCATTACGGCAATGATACTGTCATACAAATTTATTTATACATTTTAAGGCCAGCTCGTAACGCAATCTCCAAGAGTTTGGATTTTCTCACTCGTTATCCATTTTGTTTTTTACCCACTTTCTACCTTCATCGACGTTCGTTTTTGAGATGCGCGTAGGCATCACGATGGTCTTCGCCAGCGCCAGCTACTCCCTCTAGTGAGTTTTAAAGCTGTTTAGTAATGGTATTTTATTCCATTGTTAATCATAGAGGACGATACCAAAAATTAACTTCAAAGACACGTCATAAGTGAACTTCAAATTTAAAGGATAATAATTTGAAAGTTATATTATATTTTGATTTATTTATCCGGGACGGCGCGTACGCAGTCCCGACTACCAAAAATTCTGCGCCCGAGTTATCCGCATTAGGGATAATCGCAGGTTTCAGCCCAACCGTAGTGCAATGGAAAGGCCTCGTCCCGGGGGAACCGCCTTATTGATCACGGTTGACCCCTACGCCAGGTAAGTATGAATTTAGGGTGTCTAACTCGGGGTTTTCATACCTACGGTTGCGTATTAGATGTTTAGTAGCTATCGAAAATGTTGGCGCCATCTAGACAGATTAAACGATAGTAAACGAATAAATTGGATTTCGCATCGGTCGGTGTGTAGTAAATTACTGTATGGGTAATTTAATTTAATCTAGAGATAATACATTTTAAATTGAATATAAATAAGTCAATGGAATGAGTAAACTATTAGGATTCTTTATTAATTTTTGACTTTAGTCTCTTCAAAAGTAAGAGCATTGGCTGTATACAGCCAACGGTAAAGGGAATATATCATTTTTTTGTAATTACAAACAATTGAGAGATAATCAAATTATAATATGTAAAGAATAAAATTTGTTTTAATTAAATAACTAAAAAAGTGCTTTTATGTGTTACTGTTGCTCTTCATAATACAGCGCGATCCACAAAATAATGCTTCTAAAGTAGGCCTTAGTCAAATTGATGTATATACGATTCTTTTTATTTTTAAGTGTTTGTTTTGCCTTTGTCGGTCGTGGCCTACTTTAGAACATTTTTGTCGATCACTATATTGTTTTTATGTCATCCGTAGGACCCTCTTCCTCCGCCCATCATGACCAATCTTGTATAGAAGCCTTTACGGTTACACCTATCCTATACTCGTTATTAAAAAAGATATGTAACATACTTCATTTTTTATTGTTTATTTATTTGTATAGAGTGTATTTTGTTTTATATTATATAATAAAATAATTATAATTTCCTAATTAATGTTTTATTTTAACAAAATTGGGAAATATCATTCCATATACCTATTTTGTCAAGATATAAGATTAATTTGGTAACATTTAGATTTTAAGGTATTATAACTACTTATACTAATTACGTATTAAAATCATCCGGGAGACAATTTTTATTTTGGGAGACAATTCTACCGCGCCGGAAAAAAGTTCCCCAAAAATTTACCCCGAACGGATTAAAATTTCCCAAATTTGGTGGAAAATACCCCATATGGCAACTCTGCCTATGGATTCATTTGGATGCATCTAGTTTATATGAATTATGTAAGATTTTTTTGTTTAATCTTTCTGTGTTGAATACATGAAAGGCGTGATGAAAAGTTTAAATATTTCCATAAAAAACGGATTAATTCTCTGAAGGTTCTCATTCAGTACTTTACGTACCAAAATATAACATAATAATTGTTGAAGGGTTAAGAAACTTTACCAGTAATTTTTAGTAATAAAATATTATCGAAAACAATCATTTTCGATCTGTATCTTCGACATAAAGCTTCTCCAAAATATCCATAGGATAAAATATAAAAATTTTCTTATTATAGTCCAGGGAATATTGAATAATTCCTTGAATTATAGCAGTTTGACTATTATGTTTTTATTTATTTATCCGGGACAGCGCGTACGCAGTCCCGACTAACAAAAATTACGCGCCCGAGTTATCCGCATTAGGGATAATCGCAGAGTTCAGCCCAACCGTAGTGCAATGGCAAGGCCTCATTCTGGGGGAACCGCCTTAGTGATCATGGTTGACCCCTACGCCAGGTAAGTATGAATTCAGGGTGTTTAGCTGGAGATCATCATATCTACAGTTGAGTATAGATAGGTTAGTAGCGAGCGTAAATATTGGCGCCATCTAGAGAAAATGAACGGTATTCAACGATTGGATGATGTCCGACAATGTCGTCAATAACTACTGTAGCGTAGATTAACTACTACAGTCATCGTACATATGAACGATGCTACAGTTGTCTCTGCTACTACCTTCTGTGGTAGAAAAGCTTCAGTCCCACCAAAATATGGGTTTTCTGTTTTCTAACTAGGTTTCCAGTGATAAGGTAATTGTTTCAAATCTTAACTGATTTTGGGTGATGCTGTCTAGCCCACCAAAATTTCAATTAAAATTATGGTGGTTAAAACATGAATAACTTTTTTTGTAGACGGTCACAATCCACCATTAAAAAATATGGTGGATGAAACTGAACTGAATATTTTAATTTTCTTTTAGAAACTATCACAATGCAATAAAAAATTGTAATTAGTTATTCCATAATAATTATTTAATTTGGACTAAAAAACTTTGTATTATTAAATTATATTCAAAGAAAATTAATGTACTGATAATTCATAACATTTATTGATAACAACTAGTATTTCAACATTTTGTCCTTTAGGTATTATACAGTATCGTTGTATACCTAAGTTTTTTGAGTCGACATTAAATAATTATTATAAATAAACGGTTAAAGTTTCCTATTGTAATGTGACAGATCCTAAAAAAAAAAATTAGACTGCCACCATATTTTTAAATGAAATTTTGGTGGGTTGTAAGCATTTTTACAAGAAAATAAAGAACTGTTATTCATGTTGTCACCACCATAGTTTTAAGTGACATTTTGGTGAGTTAAAAACCCAATACGGGATGGGATGACTCAAAGATCCAAAACAATTACTTATTCATTTGAAAACCTGTCAGATAAACCTCCTTTCTCGTGAGATTTGAGATTTTCTACCACAATATGTAGTTACTTTACTTTTAAAACATTTATTAAAATTAGTCGCTTTTCTCCTTAAGCATACTCAAGTAAAAATATTTGAGTTTTATGTACGTCACTTTTTTATTATTATATATAAAAAAATCCTATACAAATAAAAATACGATAACTTATATACAAAATCGTAAAACAAAAGCAAAAATAACAAAATATCAAATAAGGAAATAGGACAGTCTTTTATATTCTTAATTAATAACCCTTCTTGACCAACGGGATACTCTTGGTAATGACCCTGGATACGGCAATTTTCCTGTCCTTTTCGGCTACGGCATATTCGCTCTTGGTCAGGTCATCGATTCTACTTTCTTGTTGCTCTTTCAAATCTCCAGTGTGAGGATCTTGGACAGCATATTTGTATTCGTATTTCGGAGGGGACTTAAAAAACAGAAAATTTAACAGGAAAGTGTAATTAATATACATATAAGGATTAATTAGACAATAATAATAACAAAAAATGTATAAATGTATTGGTTAAGAAACATGTTGTTTGAAAACATTTAAGAGGGGTACATGTACACCGGGATTCATGTACACAAGAAGTCCTAAAATATATAAATAGGTCCAATAAGTGGTATCATTTATTATAACACTTAAAATGCGCCCGAATATACATTATGCAACCTAAACAGATATTGAATCGAAACTTTAATGTTATTGTAGGAACTCAAAATAAAAATGAACATTGCATTTTATTGAATTGTAATTTGACACAAAATATTTGATAAATCATGGAGTTTCATAATATACTGACTGAAAACTCTGGTGGAGTATAAAATCTAATAAAGAATTTTTTTTTGTGAAATATAAGTAAGGGAAACTTTTTGAGACTATTGATATTTGTTGTAAGATAAAAGCAGATAATTTTAGTTTGCAATGAATTACATTCGATTAAATTGAAAACATGAACTTACAATCAGGTCCACTACAGTTTCTTTTCCAGCAATAGCGATTCCAGAACCTCCAATTGACGAAATACCTCCATAACCTAACCCTCCATCAAGCAAACCTGCATGGGCAAAAGCTAAGAGTGCTACTAATGCTGTTACCTATTAAGAAATTAAAAAAAAAAAACAAAAATTAAATTGTAAATATTGATTAGTACTGTTGGAGAACTAGTATTTATGAATTAATTATATCTAAAATAATTGTCACATTATTAAATCATGAAATTGAAAATAATTTTAAAATTTTATTCAAATCAAACAATCTTTCGCACATAAGAACGGTTCATTTTAATAGTACGTTCGCAAACTACCCATCTCTATTTCATGCTTCATACTAACAAGTATTTTGGAGTTATAGAGGCAGTATTGCCAGATAAAAATTTTCTGGAACAGTAGATGGGTGGAAAAAAAAACAGTAGATCATCGAAACTGAACAGTAGATTTTAATACAGGGGGAAATAATTATAATTTGCAGTATAATAAATAAAAAAGTTACATAAGAAACGAAAAATAAACATTTTTGGCTTTGATGCCCAAATTAGAAATTAAACAAAGACTAAAATAAATAAAATTTGTAAAACTTAATGCCAGGAGAACTTATTTCTTTCAGATCAGTCTGAAACAGATAATTCAAATATGTTGTATTTGTCATGCATATTCTTATTATGATGTCGTTAGTAATTTTGTTGCATTTTAAATCAAAATATGATGATGATGATTCATTGGAAGTTAAATATTTTTTGTGTGGCGCAAACCTACAATACTGGTTGTATTCAACTTATTACGCGATTTAACTTCAGCAAATACCTATCCTTTGTATATTTGTTGAAGAACGAGGCAAACGTAATAAATTACGAACAGAATGTGCCAAGTTGGCAAAAACAGGAAAACAGTATATCAAGAGACAAAAACAGTAGGTCTACTGTATGGAAGACCAAAAAAAATGTAGTTTTTATTTATTTACAAAAATGTTTAAACCTGATACCAAAAAATCACTTCAAAGTCGTGTCATTATATACCAGCACTGAAATACTGGTATAATATTTTAAAAGTTAATTATGTTTTTATTTATTTATCCGGGACAGCGCGTACGCAGTCCCGACTAACAAAAATTACGTGCCCGAGTTATCCGCATTAGGGATAATCGCAGAGTTCAGCCCAACCGTAGTGCAATGGTAAGGCCTCATCCTGGGGGAACCGCCTTAGTGATCATGGTTGACCCCTACACCAGGTAAGTATGAGTTCCAAATATTTAGCGCGTGCTTTTGGTATCTACGGTTACGAGTAAAAAAATCAGTAGCGACGGAAAATAGTGGCCCCATCTAGAGACCCTGAATGGTAATACACGGTTTGCTGGATCGCTGGCAACCGACTATCGCATCTGCGTTTATCATTCGAGAGTTGTTTGATTATCAAAATGTGGGATGCCTTTAAATAGAATATTTTTAATGCATTTTTGGCGAGCTGTAGTTCGCAAACTACTTTTGCTACTACAAAAAGTTATGAATAAAAATTATGTACAATATAGTCATCTATAAGTTTACTTTAATATATATTTATATCTGATAAATATTTATAAATGTTTGAGGAAAATAACTGAAGCGACAAACTACAATTATATAATGTTCTATGAAATCTATAACAAGAACCAATATTGAGTAAGATCGAGAACAAACAATTAAATTAGAATAGACAAGTCATGAGAATGGATGATGAAAAATTAACAAAGTAAGAAACGAATATGAAAGGATTGAAAGGAAACCATTCAAAAAAGATAGGAATTAAAGGATTAAAAGTAAATAATAAATTACAAGACTAAGCAGAAAGAAAAAAATAAGAAGTAATTGATAGTAGTATTTTCCAATGTGAGGTATTTCGAAAAAAAAAAAATCGGCAGGATATAACACAACGGGGAGACTTTGAAACTGAAACCAACTGAATTTGAATCTAACATAACGACACCCTCATCGAAGAAGCTTGTAACTCAATTTTAGTGATTTTATCCTTTATACGAGAATGTCCTAAAAAATTTCTGTGTTCCTCAACAATTTTATATATTATAGTGATTTCTTCCTAAAACCTATTATTTAAGTTTCTTTTCAATTTTTGAATACTACAAAATTATGTTATATGATAAATATGGGGTATAAGAATTTTAGAAAGGTTTAGGTAGGGCATGACACAAAAAAAAGGTTTTGAAACACTCGGTTAAAGCAAGAGCCTTTCGAAAACCGGATACTCAAATAGGAATAGCGATAAAAAAAAAGAAAATGAATAATTATTAAATTTCAGAAAGATATTTTTTCATTCTTGGAATAAATTTATTTTGTAAATTAACAATCTTACAAAAATTATTTTTGAATAAGTTTTACAAAATTATTAATTTTAGCCATCATATCCGTAAATAAAAAAATGGTGAATAGCTTAGAGAAAATTGGAGGCTAAAGATAGAAAAAAATGGTGGGCAATATAGAGAAAATTGGAGGGTAAAATAGGCTAGAGAAAAATTGGTGGGTAAAGATTAAAAAAAATGGTGGACAATATAGAGAAAAAGTGGTGGGTATAAAGAAAATTGGTGGAAAGATTGAGAAGAAAATGGCGGGTTTATATAGAAAAATAGGTTATGAAGCTATTTAGAGTATTCTACAATATTCTACAATAAAAAGCTAAGGGTTTTAAAATAAATATTTTGCTTGAAGGACTTAAGTAATGTCAAAAAAAATTATATTAATTTACTTTGGAAGATTAGATTTTTTTAACATTCATAATGGTTTAATCTCCTATAATTTTTGTTCTTCTTTTTTTTTTCAATATGCTCTACATTTGAGCTAAATATTTCAAAATAAAAAAGAATTGGTAAAATTAATCTTATATTCTGAAACTTTACTGGGGCGATATTTTGTATTGTTTTTCGATTGATCCAAAAACGGCAATGGGACTTTTCAATCCACAAATTACCGATAAAGTTATTGGCATTATCTTTAAAGAAGTTTAAAAAGAATTAAATCATTTTTTGAAAAATATATGATTCTACTACCTTTTCATTTATTTATTTTTTATTTTTTAAACCGTTATTTTGAAATAAACTTACCTGGGCAATCATCTTGATTTTGGAAATCTGAAACCACTGTTTTACTGATAAGAGACTTTGGTGAACACTGATACAACTTTGTCACCTTAGATCTCGTTATATATAGTAACCGATTTGTTTTCACATTCACTCTTAATGACCAAGAAAATTAGATTTAAAATTTTGAATTTATTTCTGCATGGGTTCGGCTGATGCAACTATTCAAATAGACAGAATAATCGAATCTCGCAGGTGGATTCGTATCGATTGATTTGGACGATTTTTATCACAAAAAATATGCGGATTTTTCGATTTTTTGATTCTATAGAGGTCCAATTTTTGTTGTTTCATTCATTTTTAAATCTATTTTATATTTTAAATATGATGTAATATATGCACTTAGTTAATATTAATAGTTCACGGAAAGAAAAATTGAAGTCATCTATATGATTACTCTTCCCAAAAAACAAATAAATGGGATATTACAAAAGAATTAGTCATTTAAGGTTTATTTTTAATTAATACAATTATTTAATCAATAAAAATTTAACTCTTTAATCTCATATTTTATCATTAGAGTGAGTAGGTTCACTATTTTTTATAATAAGTAGAAACAATTTTTATAGGATGGATCATAATGAAATTAATAAACAATTTACTATTGTAATCTTATTATTTTACCATTTTAGTAAGTAGTATCATTAAGAATGCAATCAATCTTTGAAGGATTACTTTTAATTTATTTTATAATTTTATTAAAGTTTCTATTTTTCCATTATTTTTATTTTTAACAATTTTACTATTTTAATCTACATTTAAAAATATTTTTTTATAATATTTAATGAATATTTATAATAGAATAGAGATGAAAATACTTTAAGGTCCACCATTTAAGGATATTTTACTTGGTTCAATATATAGTAAAATGTTTAATAATTTAAATTATATTATAATTAAAGATGTCTAGAAATATGTACTTACCACTCAAATTTAATACACAAAAAACTGCACAAGAAATGTCACATTAACGCAAAAATAATTAAAAATCAAAGTTCCGAACACAAATAGAGAAATCACATGTGGTAGATATATTTATAATAGATTATGCGAGGTTAGTGCCATTTACAGATTATTATGCTAAATCGCTTTGATATACCTAAAAGTAGACAGAAATAGATTGTTCTAATTTTGACATATAAAGTGACATTTTTGTAATCGCAGCAAGTGTTAAAATAATCTACTTTACGCATAATGTAAAACATTATGAAATTGGATTCGAAAAAATCATTATGTCACCAGTTTGGAAAAAAAAATAAAAATAAACCCAAAAAATAAGAGATCATTATTGGATGTTTAAAAAATTAAAATATACCCTTTTCTTCGAACTTCACATGAAACATTAGTTAGAGAATTATTGTTATTTATTTAAAATTTTAAAAATGAATAGTAGACCGGTCATTAAATATGAACTATGTTTGGTGGATTTCATATCCATACAGTGTCCTTACTAGAATGGATATAAAATTATATCCGTCTAATATAACCCAATGACCCATTTTTTCGTTCTGTAGACTGTGCATATAACAGATCATATCCATGTGGGTGTAGAAAATAGCAATTTATATAACAAGAGTGGATATGATGGCCATATTGCTCGTAGATGAAAACGAAGTGCGATACTGACAATCCACTTGAGGTGTACATTATATATTGACATTTTAATTTTAGGAGCGAATTATCAAGAGGCATATTTGAAATTATTTCTCACAATGAACAAACAAAGTTATAATTCTAGAAGAGGAAAGAATTTAAAGAAAAAAATTTAATAAATTAATTGAAAGGGTACAATAAGGCATAATATATTCTATTTTTGGCAGCATTTTAAATGTTATTAAAACGGTTAAGAACTTTTTATATTATTTGCGAATATGATTTTTGACCTTATGTTGCTCATTCTAGATCCTTCCTAAATATACAGAGTGTTCCTAAATATTATGTCAATATTGAAGGACGTAAATAATTTTTATGACATATCTTATAAATATGTGCTCCCAATTGTTTTTTTTTTAAATACAAGTTGTTAAAAAATATAAATTAGGATGTCTCCATGACGCAATAATTTTAATCTAATCCGGTATAAATTATTCTCTTAATAGTATTACAAACCAAAACTTCTCAATTTAATCAAAATCGTCAAAAGCATAAAAAACGTATCTTTAAAAAAAAATTAATACTTTATATCCTGAAAAAAAAATCATTTAGTTGTTTAGGGTTTATTTAAAATCAATTCCACCTTCTATATTAATATTTATGAACACATTGTATACAAATAACTGTTTTTATTACAGAGGAAAATATTTGATTAACCGATTCATATTGTAAAATAAAAATGCAATTGATACTCATCATATAAACCATATATCATCCTTTCCTCAACGTCTTTCATATCGCTGAATATCTGATGCAAGACATGAATTTCAAGCGCCAGATTATTTACCAACAACAAATGCATAAATATACAAATTACTTGAATGTAGGACTACAGCGCGTTTGCTATTTTTTATTAACTATGTGAACGTCTAAAGTTGTATATATATAAAAGCTCCCGAATTTCTCAAATTAGTCAGAGTTCGACAACGGTGAGGCACTCCCAAACAAGACTTAAACTCCTGTGTTCAATAATTAAAACCAAAAATGATTTCTCAAGTAAGTTTGAAATGGTATTTTGAATTGAATTTTTATGAACATGGTTATTTTCGAAAAAGTTTTCATTTTCCTTCACATTTTATATTCATTGAATTATCAGTTTTGAAATATAATATATTTTTTAAATAAATTTTCTACATATTTTTATGTTATAAAGAATAAAATTGATTAAATTTTCATTGGAAAATTTGCATCATTTATCAACTAAATTCATTTATTCTTTACACCATAAGAAATAAAAACTTTTAGTGTGAGACAAGTTTTTTTGTCACATAGTTAATTTAGAAAAACAAAAAATTATTGCAATCAATATAGTAACCTAACTTATTTTATTTAATGTTTTTTACATGTCATTGGCATCAACTACTTGGTTATTGGATTCAGTTTTGGTGTTTACTTTATTACTATTTCCCATCACCGCTTTAGGAGCAGCACTATTGATTATTAGTACCCAATAGTGAATGGCCGAATTAGAAAATTCTACCTATTTATTACAATTTTTCAATTTTTCAATTTTTATTAATTAGAAAAATATGTCTGCTTTTTTCTTCTCTAAATTTCTAAATCTTGTCTTCCAAGTTCTCTTTGACCTCTTCATCTTTTTTATTATTTTCGTCCAATATTAAAATTGATTAGATTTTAAGATACCATTTGGGAAGGCGCAACCGAGACCGACTTCAAACAACAGGCAGCAAGCAGCAAATCCTACCGTGCTAAAACTACTATCGGTCTCGCCTCTCCAAATGTTACCTTAATAAATATTGAATTAATCCTATCATTAACACTTAACAGCTTAGTTTTAAACTATTTCTTATATTTTTCTCACTTTTCTATTTTTTATTTGTTTCATGCTTAGTCGAAAGCTTACTTTAATTCAAAAACTACTTAAGAACACTGGTTACCAATGAAGAGCATTTGATTTTAATTCTAAAGATCTGGTGTGTGTTTTGCTCCACTAATAATACAATGTGTAACGATTCTTCCAAATTATCCTGAGTGCTTCTCATAGCAATATTTTTTTATCTCCTGGTACACGACACTTACGAATGCAGCAATTTTTACATTTTGAGTAAGGAGTATCAGAAGACAGTTCTATTGTACTGAGAATTTGCTTTGAAGAGTCCCTCCCTAATATTGATAGAATTCATCTACAATATGAATCTAATTAAATTTAAAAGCATTACTATAGTGTCTTCTTTTTATTTAGGTAGTAATAGTAGCTTTGGTAGCTGTAGCCAACGCAGACCCTATTGGCTTAGGAGGATACGGAGGTCTTGATGGTGGAATTGGCTTAGGAGGTCTTGGTTTGGGAGGTATCGGTTTAAATCCAATAAGCATAGCAAAAACCGAAGTAGTGGACTTGTATGTAAGTAACAAATAAAAATTCTATAGTTCATTTTAATTAATAAATCAACTACCAATATACTGGAGGGTAGTAAAATATTCTATATTTTTAGTCGCCACCAAAATATGAATTCAAATATGGCGTATCGGACCCTAAAACAGGCGACAACAAAGAACAGACTGAGGAACGAGTGGGCGATGTTGTCAAAGGGCAGTACTCCCTAGCAGAACCAGATGGTACCATTCGTGTTGTCCAATATACAGCTGACAAAGTGAATGGTTTTAACGCTGTAGTGAAAAGAATAGGCAAGGCATCTCACCCACAAATTATCCAAAAAGCTATACCTATTATACAGAAACAAATAGCCATACCTGTTGTGTCAAAAATTGGACTCTCTAGTGGGCTTGGTGGACTTGGAGGGCTTGATGGGGGACTTGGTGGACTTGGATATTAAGATTAGATTGGACTGATTGTTTAGTACATTTTGTTGTTGCTCACCTCATTTTATGTTATATCTACATTATTTAATTATTATTTAATCGTTGTTTACATATTTAATCACCAATAAAGAAGTTTTTCTTATCTTTTTTGTTTGAATTTCCAAGTTATGATGGTAATTTGATACCCAAAGATATGCAACTTATATTACACGGCTGTAGTTGAGGTTACTGTTCCAATATTATTTATTACAAAAGAAAAACAGTTTCAGTTTAACTAGCTTAAACGATTTAAAAAAATTGTTTTAATAATAGTTAAATGTTCAATTATTGATCTTTAATTATTTAATAACAACAAAATATTACAAAATAGAATGATATATGTCTATCTATAGCTATCTACCAACACACTGGATTGGTTATGAAAATTGAATTTATTAATAATTAAAAAAGCTTACAATATTCTTAATTTATTGTGCACCAAAACAAAATATATCTTACATTGATTTAAAATACAAAAAAAAAATACAAAAAAAGCCGCCCGAGCAGGGACTTGAACCCTGGACCCTTGGATTAAAAGTCCAATGCTCTACCGACTGAGCTACCCGGGCTGATACTACTTCGTGTCCAGTAGCATCTAGACTTTCTATAATCACATAAAATGATTAAAACATTATTTTAAAATTTTAGAAAGTATGGGGGTGAGTAGGACATGAAATTAACCCATAGTGTATTTAGCATTCAATAACAGATATTAAAATGAATCAGAACAAAAATATCAGAAATCAAATGTGATTTTAAAATACAACTCTTGAAACTTCTAAATGCACAAGCGAGGTACATACCTAGAGTCTAGCAAACCATAATACATATTATAATAGGATCGAATTATCAAGTACGTTATGATGTTAACAGAGGACCTTTAGACGTTATAATTTAATAATGATAACATGCAATCAAAAACTTATATTTAAATACCTATCAACAAATTAGTATCTTATTAATCAAGAGACTTTATATGGGGTCACGTTACGAGTTATTGTTCAATGCCAAAAGACGCTTGGTGTCGAGATCGAATGACGCAATACATATAGGGAAGTGTTCAATAGGTCTGTCGATGGAAGTAAGATGCGTTGTGGAGAGTTCATTAAGTGGAAAGATTCGAAGTGATCATTTTGATCACTATTCACTTTACTTCGCAGGTACAATTGGTAGGATTTTTGTTGCACTTATTTTGTGAATTATAAATCTTCATTTTTAATAAAAATCTATTATATTCTATTTTATTTCAATATTTATTTATTTTGCAATATTAATTTATTTTAAAATTTAAATATTTTGAATTTCTATTACCTAAAACACTTCTCTATAAATATACATGATTTCTATACACTGGGCTTAAAACATTGTTACTAGTTTTTATCAGATAAATAAAAGATTTAATTGCAATTTTGAGACGTGGAGAGCAGAGGGCAGAGGGCAAAGATGGTTTTGGAAATAGGTATAGGTAGGTATACTAGAAAGATTTAACAAAATTTGTCCAGTTAATTGCATTACTACACAAAAAACATTATATAAATGTCGAATTATCCATAAATAAAACAAAAATTTTAAATAAGACATTTCAACCTGTTTAGGTACCCGATTATGCTCATCCAAACGAAAAAACATGATGCGTAAAATGCGTCGAGTTATAAAGGTGTACAGATTTAATTAAATTTACCAAAAAATAGCCCATATCAAATTGATTAATCTACAGTAACGAAACAAAACAAGCTATTTAATTTTTAGCTACTAGATTCTGAAATAAATATATTATTACAAATATCTATAAAGGAATACTGAATCAAAAATAAAAATAAAAAGAGAAATAAAAAAAAGGTATTAAAAATTTGAAATGTGGACAGAGCAGGCTTAGCGAAATAAAGAATAATCCACGAAAAATGTTTCTAAAGTAGGCCGTGACCAACAAAGAGAAAGATAGAGTCATGTCCGTATTAACTACACGCGGCTCTGAATTAAATCCTAACCGAAGAAGGATAGTATGTTGGACATACGTAAATTTTTCCAGAAACATTTTTTATGGATCACTTCTTATCACCAGAAATGCAAGAATGTACAGCTTGAGAAACGAATAATTGACTGGATTTCATATTACACTAGCAAATAAGATAAAAGGAATGAATAGAAAAGATTAAAGAAAAGAAGAACAATACTGAAGATCATTAAATGATAAAATAGATTAGAAAATATGTCTTACTATAATAGTCATAAGCCCCATTAAAGAATAAGTGAGGAATTACTAGATTACTGAAATAACAAGTAGTATAGCGAAGTAAATATGGAATTAAAACAATAATAATAAAAAAAAGAAACTAGTAAAAGTAATTACACTTCCTCCATGAGTACAAGCAGGCATATTCGGTAAAAAAAAACAAGAATTGACATATCAATAACCAAGACAAAAATTTTAATACAAAAAACAAAATTAATATACCTACTGATATGCAAACATACTGTATTTCATTTCCAACAAAAATATATTAAACTGGTGTCGATTTAAATTTTTATATTTACAAAAAAAATATTTGGACTTTCGACTGCTCCTCTCCATCTATCCTGTAGATCTCTATTTCCTGCTTCTCATCCAGCAACTTTGACATCTCTACTTTGTCCTCCACATCTTATATCTGCTTCTCTTCCTCTTTACCAACGTGTGATTATCTATATTAATGAATGTTCACTGTAACATTTCTGGTAGAAAAATCCTTTAATTTCCCACCTTACTTTCAAAGTTTTTGAAAGTCAATAAAACAACTCAAAATTCCCATAACAAACTTTTTCGTCCACTTTAATTTCTAAATTTTGACTTTTCCGAATCTTCACCACCCCAACAAATAGATACCTAAAACATAGGTAAGCAAAACAGTTTGACAGAAAAGGAAACAATAAATTAAATAAATTTTTCAAGTGAAATATAAAACCGCATATATCACACACAGATAAGAAAATCCAAGATGGAGTGGAATTAACATATAGAATAACAAAAGTAGGTTAGCATAACAGAAAGATAATAAGTTTTCAGTTTTCCCTAACGAAAGAACATAGATCTTGAAAAAATGAAAGCCGTAGAAAGCCCTGTCTGTAATCTGTGAAATTACGCCTAAACCGTATCTGTATAGTGTTGGTCATCTAACCATGAATTACGTTTCTTTCTGCATAATACCTTTGGATTTTATTAAATTACTATCGATGTGTCTAAATTTAATTTTTATTCTTTTTTGAAGTTACTCGAATGTAAAATTAGATTGACGATTTGCAGAAGTCTCAGACCAGGACTGACTTTTTAAATCGTTTAATATTATTTTAGAGATAGATATTTATAATGACACTACCCATTCAGAATATCGGAAATGTCTGCTTAGAAACCAGTCAAATTTAGATCATGTAATTACAAAAAGTATGAATATTGAGCGGTATAAAAATTATTGAATTAAAATAAAACGGTTTTATAACAGTTTAACATGTGTCGGGAAAAACACGGAATCAGGCTGAATGTGCATGAACAAGTCAGTATTGATTGAAGTCAGTATTGCTGCATCATAATCTTGTTAAGATTCCGTACATCTTGGACAAAAAACCCCACTGCATTTTGGCATCGTTTTCCTTTCTTTTCTTATGCGTATTCTTTGGATGAGTCCCCAAATATTATTTTTACTTCTGTTTTTTAATTATTTTCTTTTTCTCGTACTCTTTTAAACCAGAATATTCTGATATTGGTGTACTACTGGCCAGTTCTTCAATTTTTTTTTTTTTTTGACCAGGCACTAATTGTTCAAGAGTAACCATATAATTTTCAAAAAGTTTCCGCTGCGCACTTGTAGATTTTATACCCAGATCTTTAGCCTTATCTCACATATGCAAATGGGTTTTGGCTAAGGGAAACAAAAAGACGGGAATTAATCGATGAAAGTGTATTTTTCAACCGTGTATAACCTTTCTGAAATCTTTTATTTATAAGTTGCTGGATATTTATAAATACAAGATCAATACAGATCAAAAATATAAAAAAAAGGATAACCAAGAAAAACATCCATACAGATTTGTTTTTTTTAAATTGCTTATCAACTACTACAAAATCTATCTACCGTTGATAAAAAAGGAGAAAATTAGTTACGAGTATTTAAATGACAATACACAATTATTTGACCCCTTAAATTGAACTTTCAAGATTTGCTAATGAGAGCTCAGTGATTTAATACGTTTAAGTTAGTTGAAACAATACATATTTCTATATGGAACGAAAATAATTGTAAGAGCTTCAATATAACTACCGCTATAAAAATCAGAGATAAAGGAACACTTCTTGAAAGCCGTCTCTGTAACCATGTGGTTTCGTTTACTTATTATTATGAAATTATTAATTTTATTGAATTGCCATCTCTGTCACGTTCCAATCATACATTAGATAACATCTTTGACTTTACCGTTTTTCCTTCGTTTCGAAAACCCCAAGACCCAAACGGTGTGTCAAATTCAATTAGTTCCGGAAAATATTACATAAATTTTTTATATAAAGTTAATGGTTTAAGCCCAACCGCCCAGTAGCTGGGCCACAAGTCTAAACATCAACATGCGCGTGGTTTTGATTTTTCTAGTAAGTGATAAATGCAAAATTTCAAAGTGTAAATTAGTGTAATTAAGAAGTGTTCATAAATTAAATCTAATAATGGTTTAAATTGTGAAAAATGCGTGAATAAGTGATAAAAATATTGTATATTGTTTCATCTCAATTGGTGATAATAGGATGTAGAAAATATATTGGTCCAATGTCAATTAAAAAAAAAGTTGTTAAAGGCTCTACATTAATAATAATATGCCATTTTGGTTCAATTTCGTTAAATGTCACAAAACTTTAACCCATTGAAAAGATAGCTCTAACCACACACGCTCTAACCCATAGACATTTGCTCTAATCCTAAATATCTGTCAATCATCTCGTTTTCCCCATCTATTTTTTCTCTGCCTTCGCAAAGGTGGAAGGGTGGGCATCAGACTCACTTCAAAGAATAAAAAAAAACTCAGGTTATATATACCTACATTGTCTGATAACTCAAATTAAAGGCAGGTAGTTATTTAATTCTTTATTGATTATGATGATTTTTAATTATGGATGATGGGTAGGGAAAAATGTTCACCTACGTTTTCAATCGTTTGTAGAGCTATCTAAAAGATGCTTCAACCAATTTCTACCCACGTCAATTAGCTGTCACCTGGAGGGGATCAATGGAACAATTGCTCCCCTCCCTTGAGATTGATAACCTTAGTCCTTCACGCCGTTTACCGTTGACAAATAATGGATGAAAATTTAGATAAGTTACTTTATTTTCTTTGTTGCATTTTTTCAGTCTAGAGTGAGCCAAGGGGAGTCATAATGTAATTTTTGATTTATATTTTATTGTTTTAAGACATGATAAATTTTCCTAAGGTTCAACATATTGTGAAAATAATATATATTAAATAAGACGAAACAAAAAACACTTATATTAACTATAGACTTAACTACAAGAAACTTATTATTCATTTTAATCGAAAAAAAAAATTAAAAGAACTCTACAACACTCATCCAATACATACCCCTAAATATTGTCAGCGATCACGTGGGTGTACTAACTTTGGATAGTTTATCTTTAAAAAGTTTTTTATAAATATTAATACTAGAAAGTCAAACCTTTTCAACTTGTATATTTCTGCAGATATACTTCCTCGCGGTAACACACTTGGTATGGACAGAAGAATCCGAATCAGAAAGGGAAGAGGATAAAAACGAGAAAACGGAGAATGCAATTGAAAAGCCAGTTAACGAAATAGAAAACGAAGTGCAGGAAACCGAAAGTGAAAGAGAACAAACAGAAAATGAAGAAGAAGAAATCGAAAAGGAAAGTGACAACGAAGTTATTGAAAAAGAGGATGTTGGTGACATGGAAGACGGCTTTTCGTTCCACAGGTACAACGGACCTGTCAGCGGAAAAGTGAGAAAAGTTGTAGTTCCAAATACCAATCCTCAGCGTCAAGGAAGCACTAGTGTAGATTATGTAGTAAGAATACTTTTTCATATAAAGTTTATAGATATAAATATAGGAGGTTTTAACAGCTGGTGCTACAACCAATAACGCATGCAGTTTGTTCTTCACTTCATCAGTTGTCTTAAGACTTTTGACAGTTTGAACATACCTAACAAATTTCTGGCTAAAAGTTCCACGAATATCTTCTATATTTTAAGATAATATTACTTATCTAGTTTTTAATAATTTGTAAAGTTATAACTAACATTTTCATAAATGTTATTTCTCAAAATTCACTTACAAAAACCAAAAAGCTTGCTTTATCATCTTCTGAGTTTCAGCTGCAGTTTTTAGTGCCAGAATGTTTTCGACCAAATCCAGTAAGCTGTATAGGTATATACTTTTCCAAATAGGTACCTTGCAGTGATCCTAAAATACTTTTTTGAATATGATTATGGTGTAATCACTATATTTATCCATTTTTACAATTTTTATATATCTCTGGTCATTCGTTTTATATCATTTAGTGACTTCGTTTTTGATTCTTCTTGTTATATCCTAAAATTTTGTTTGATCCAGCTTGTCGTCTACTTCTTGTACATTTGCGAAATAATTTTTATTTTATTATTCTTTTTAGGAACCTATTATTTTAGTTTCTTTAAACATGTCCATGCAACATGAGTTATGTTTCCTTTATTTCGTATAAGTACTACCGAAACCAATACATAAATTAGAAGAAAATGATTTAATCAACTTTTTTTAAATGGGCAGGTATATGCCATAAAATAAAATTACGACTACTTAAAATTTGAAAAATATTTTCAATAGATTATTTAAAGTGAACTCTCTTCAATTTAAGAATGTATTTTTCTCAAATGTCGTATCAATATTGAAGCAGGTACTTCCTTTTAGCGGTTTTAATTAAACTTATATTAAAATTATTAAATACAATGACAGGGCAACCAAATTGATATTTTTTAGCACCCTCTGTATCTTAAAAAAAGAGCAATTTACAACACATTATGTTTATGATAAATTTTAGTCATAAATTCATAATAACCAAGGAATATTGAAATAATATTTAGGAACATCCTGTATACGACAATATTGAAGTATAATTTTTCTTTTTAGGGAAAACCAGACTACTCATTTGGTTATGGTGTTCATGATGATAAATCGAAAACTTCTCATCTCCACGTAGAGTCTAGAGATGGAAACGCAGTCCATGGCGAATATAGGGTGTTACAACCAGATGGATTAGTTAGGATAGTCCGATATTCAGCACATCCTACCACAGGATTTCAAGCACACGTTTCTTACACTAAATATTGATAAATTAATTAATTTTGTAAAGGAAAATGTAAAGATCGACTGATTAGTTGTAAAGAATTACATATAACTTTATTTAATAACTTTTGAACCAAAAAATATGCATCTTCTAGGCTTTTTCCCATTATTTTATTTAATCTGTTTTAACCGATTTGTATGTTGAATAAAATGTGTTGTTACCTATATCTTCCTAAATTTTATTTTTCAGTAATACATAACTATTTTTACATTGCCCTTTCAAATACTTAGTACTGAAATAAATGCTGATGCCACCCCTGAACAGTTAGGGAGTTTAAAATCAGGCAACCCTTTATACACAGAAACGTTAAAGGTATTGCCTATACTCACAAAAAACGTTTTTATAATACGATAATGCAGAGGCGGATAAATAAAGTATCTTGTTGGCTTTAATGTAATTATAGAAATTGTATACATTTAGAACCAATTTATTTATTATTCTATTGATTTCTTATTTAAAATAACACGTTCTAAACTATTGCCATCTACTGTTCATCGCTGTGTTAATCAGGTGTCAAATTTAAAGATTTCTGTGTAATTTTGACTTGACAGATTTGTTAGAAATGACAGACATTCGGTCTACGGGAGAGGAGTGAGAGGAATCCAATAATAAATATTTCGTGTAGTGTCGAGATAATTACTGACTGATTTGAGAAAAGTGAAAGACTTTCAACATTTATTAAATAAACACTTGTCTTGAGCAACCTGATAGTTCGTTTCATCAATATGTGAACACTTTTAACATATATCGAGAAGTAAGTTTATATACATCTACGCCTACAGAGGTTATATTTTGATAAATTTATATTCTCCGGATATAACAATAAATTTATTTGCATCGCACGTATTTAATATACAGTGAATTTATGAAGAGGTTTATTCACACCACGTTTTAAACGCGAACATGACTTCCAGATACAATACTGTGATAAGTTATTTTGTTGTCTTGATTCATCTTATGTACATGTACAACAAATTGTTGCCTCTTGAACATTGAAAGTTTCAGTTATATATAAACATGTGTTCGGTATCTAAATCAAAATATTGAGTGAATAATAAGGCAATTTTGAATTAGAACAGTTTAAAATTTAAAGGTCTGTATTTTTCGCTGATAAGTAAGAACAAAAGTTGAGTACTTAATTACCTGACTTTTTAAAAGAATTTTTGAATATAGTCTCACCTTTTTGTGTCTTTAAAGTGATTGTTATTTTATAATGTACTTAAGTAATTTTTGTCTGATTGGTAAACAAATTTGGATTTATAAGAATATTTACTCATTCAAAAAAATTGAATATAATTCCCCTTATTTATAATAATATAACTTATCTACTTTGTTGTCACAAATCAGTAAATATGTTATGATAAACCAAAATTGATTTATAAGCGGATGAACTGGGTTTTTAGTAAAACAGTTGTTTTCCTTTTTTTCCTGTCCAGATTGATTTTGAAATGTACATTGTATAGGGACACAATAAGAATAAAATTGTAGAATAATTATATCTTATCTAGCACTAAATTCAGGTTTATTTACACTACATTTTAAAGTAAACATGACTTCCAAATTCATACTGTGATAAGTTACTATTTTTCATTTTCCTCTTGAACATTGAAAGTTTTCTTTTAGGTACCTATAGTCATGTCTGTGTTCAGTATAATGAATCAAAATAGTGAGTGCAACTATTTCAATTAAGTAAATAAATTTTGAACCCTAAAATAATTTAAAATTCAAAATATATTTTTCTCTGATAGTAGGTAAAGAAATAGATAAATTCGTACCTACTTATTTTATCTAAATTTGTAAATATATTATGAATATCCAAAATTAATTTATGAAAGAATATAATTTTTTTATGTTTTCCATATTGACTACCTATTTAGTTGGATAAATCAATATCAACATTAATGAATGTTCAATGCTCAACAGTTTTGGTGTGTAGTTTTATAGGAATCAGTGTTAGGGTCAGGTGTAAGGTTTAAGGTTATCACATTTCTTATTATTTTAATATCAGTAATGAATGTTCCAAGGAATGTTCATTGTATCAAATATACCTATAATGAAACCAACTTTCATTTGGTAAAAAAAGTACCCTTGTAGTATATTACACATACACTCTATATACACATAAAATAGGGTAATTACAGTAATTATGATGTAATGCAAAATATCTCTTATCCAAAGTTTATAAAACTAACATTTGTGGTTTTCAGATAGCATTATCTGCTTCTCTCTTAACATGATTTTTATTAATTAATATTTGTATATTTTTCTTGGAAAACCATCAATAATATATACAAAATAGTATTTCTTAAAAAATATGCAATGTTTTCTGAAAACATATATGCAAAAAGTGCATATACCTGGTGTTCAACTTAAAGCGTTACAGCTATATACCGCTTTTTATAAAAAAAAAAAACGTTACAGACGAAAGTATGTACTTTAAGAATATGTAAGAAAAAATAGGATTCCCATTTAAAAAAACAAAGTCCACCTCGATATGGCCATATTGTGGTCAGCTACAAAAAAATGAATTTAGCCAAAATGTTTCCCCCAAAAAACTATAAAACTTTTGTCTGAAACTTTTTTTTCTAAAATGCATATTTTCGGCGGTATTTGACTGTAACACTTTAATTTGAACACCCCGTATATTCATTTTGCTCTCTCCCTAATACCAATGAAAGGATTAAACCCTATTAGACATTTCTAAGTAAAGTTAATATTGTAATTAAGATTCCAGGAAAAGGATTAAAAGTCAAGGGATGATGTACCTACCCTATTCCACGAATTTAATTGACTAACTTGCATGGGCGTCGTTACACAATTCTATAGAGAGGGACAAAATTTTGAAAAATTTTAGAATGTTTATTTGTTGGAAAATAAAGAAAATGAAAAATAAAAGAGAATTTTCTTATGATGGATTTATTGTGACGCCATGGCTTACTTCCGGTTTTTCCAGAAATAACAGAAAATCGCAATTTATTTTTTATTTTTAAATGAAAACACTTTTACTTATTGAAAATTTGAATTTCTAGGACATTTTTGTATAAGAAGCGTGTATTGAAAACATATTAAAAAAACTATTTTCCAATATGATGGTCATTTTGACAGCTGACAGAAAATTTTCGACACATGATTCTTATCCATAAATGTCCCTAAAATTTAAATTTTCAATAAACACGGGGGTTTCTATTTAAAAATTAAAAATAAATTGAGATTTTCTGTTATTTCCGATAAAACAAAAGTAAGCCATGAAGTCACACACCAATTGAATCCAGTATATGAGAGTATTTGTCCCAAGCTTTTAAACAAATAATTTTTCATTCCAATATTTCAATTAACAATGAAGATAAAAGAGGATGGAATTATTAAACAGTTTGCTAATAATAAAAATGCTTAGATACGCCACTGGTATAAGGTAAATGGGACTCAATGACAGAAAATTGTCAATACACGATTATTATACAATGTCCTAGAAATTTAAATTTACAATAAAAAAGAGGGTTTCCTTTTAGAATTAAACAAAATTTCGATTTTCTATTATTTCCGGAAAAACCGGAAGTAAGCCATGACGTCACAGAACAATTGAATCCATCATAAGAAAGTATTTGTTCTAATCTTTCAAACAGAACAAAATTATTCCGATATCTCACTCAATAGATAAGATAAGGGGGAGTGGAACTTTAGTAGTAACCCTAACAATGTCACCGACCTATTTGACAGCACCGATACTTTAGTTGTCATAACAAGTCTCTAATAAATAAAATAACCCAACAAAAAGAGAAACTAAAATAAAGAAAAAACAAGAAACTTAAAACACATTTTTAAAAAACAAACAGAAGGTGTGATATAAAAGAAAAATATGAACAAGAAGACAGCCATACATAATAATAAAAAAAATAAAAATTTATAAAAAAACAAAAACATAAAAAAAAGATGAACACAAAAAAAAACACTACTAAAAACATCGATAACAGACAACATAAGTTATTTTTCAGTCAGCCTAATTTCATTCATTATTCGCTCCGTGCGTGACAGCAGCGCCAACTATTTTATGAACTAACGGACGATATTTGCGTATACTGACAATACAATTTTTAATTGCATTCGTAATTAAAAAATATATGTTAATTTTAATAAAAGTATATGGATTTGTAAAACAAGTGAAAAAATTATTATTATAAATTTTTATTACTTCAGCTAAAAAAAGTAGTATAATCAATAAAAGTCAATAATAAAACATAGGCAGGTATTTACGAGAAAATGTATGAGATCTTGCCTAAGCCTAATAAGTTGTCATTGAAGAATAGGTTAAATAATGTCAAAATAAAAACATTACCAATATATAACAACGTAGAATTAAAACGTATTAACAAAAATAATTGGTATATTTGTGATTGTAATTTATATTTTCTTTATTTTTAATTCGAAAAAACCTATAGAAATTAATGATTAAAACTGGTTTCCTATCAATAAGTAAAAATATTGAATTTTAGCCATGAATAATCAAAAGCAGAAATCTAATCATTTGCTAAACATTTAAGATTTAAGGAATGTTGAAGAATATCATAAAATAATAATTTATTGTTTATTTAAAACCTTTTCTAATGTCTATTATTTCCAGTATTACTGTTATTATTACAAAAATAAAGGTTTTTTCTTCTTATTATACAGCTATCCATTTATTTCTTTGATTTAATTTCGATTTTGCTACTGAAAATTTATATAATTTACAGTTTTTTTTTGCTAGTATAATTTGCAACATAGCAACTCTGGTTGCTCTTTTTATTGTTTTTAACCTATTTTTTTAGTAAAAAATAAAATGTATACGTGTATTTGATACGCCAAAATTACAAAATATCGCCCTAAAGTACTCGAATTATCCGCAGCTTGCGCTAGTATCGCTTTTGCTTCCCATACCATGACTTCGCACTGATCGAATAGACCGCGGCCATGTTTTAACATGTCTTAGCGTGCTAAACGTTCTTTCGATTAACTCTGTCTTTAATGGAAGAGCCATAAATAATTTTTAAACCACTTTGTATCTCTGGATAAAATTCACAATGTTTGGACGCTATATCATTAATGGAGAGCTCATTGTGTGCAGAAAGCTCTTCCGTGCGCTAGTTTGGTATTCAGCTTCAAAATTTGTCGATTCCAAATTTTTTCACTATTTTCATTTTCTAATCGGTAGTGAAAAAAGTATTTTTTTATGTTTTTGGGATGTAACAGGCTTAAGGAAAAACTAACAGAGTCTTCGGAAAAGCGTGATGTAAGCGACGTAAGGGAATTCAGATATGCAATAAATATATTCAACCTATAATATTATTCATCTATATTAGCCTGAATATTATTATTTCTATGAGATTTTTGTTCGTAATAAATAATAATAATAAATAAATTGAAACCCCTCAATCTCAATTTACTTGAATGAAAACCCTATAAACAAATATTTTCAAATAAAATTTAACCAGCTATAATTCAATTATTAATAAAGTTAAAATTTTTATTAAAAAAGGTAAACAAATAAAAATCTGACGCATTGTTGATTAAGTCGTAAAAGCCAGGGGGGGAAACTGTCCCCCTTGTCCCCCCAAACGACGCCCATGCTAACTTTTGATTTCAAAAATATCCTGTTAATTGGTGTGATTATAATGTGTACCTAGAAAATGAAACCAAGATTTAATCCAAAGAATTGTATTTATTTGTTTCAGGTTTAGATAATTCGAAGAAGCCAGAAGTAATGTATTTACAATGCTTTGGTTTATCTAAAAGCAACAATGGTGTGTTGGAAAGCAGATTCGCGAATGATGGCCAGCAAATGCTTGTGTTGTGATTTGCAAATTTGGAAGCACAGTAAATGGAGAACTCTCGATAAGCTCAGATAATATAAAATAACTATCAAATCGTTAAATTTTACATTCCTTAGTGTGCCATAAGTACATAATCTTAATTATTAATAATTTGCCAAAGTTTTGAAACGAAAAAGTATTGAAGGACCCAGTGCAGTATGGCGGACGATTCCAGACCCTTACTGGGATCCATTAAGATCCGGTCGTTCCATCAGAGGATACGGAAGAAAAACAGTTGGATCCTCAGACCTTCAGCGTTGAGGAAATGCGTGTTCGCCGTAGTATTTTTTTCAGTGATTTTGATTATTATTTATTCTAGACAAACTCGCTCACCTTATTTAACCAAGTAAGTAGAATCGTTATTTACATTACTTATCTTATCGATTTGTGGTAACTGAGTATTATTAAGTCTATTTTACACATTAATTAATAAGTAAACTACATTTTGACGGGTGTTAATTTATGTGTTTTTGCATTAAATGATTTTTATAGTTGTGAAAGTTGATATTTATTTTATTCATTATGATAATAATTATGCAGTTGTTTATTTTACTATAAAATTAATCTCATATCTCAATCTTAAAAAAATTGGATTCAAGTTGTTTACTTTCCTTTTCAGAATTATGAAACTAAAATAGTATTGCAGGAGGTTTGATTATTTATTAGATATTTGGGTATTTTTATGTTGATAACAAACTAAAAGACCTGCCAGGCATTGTTGATTTAGTATATATAAAAATTACTGAAGAGTGGCCTCAAAAAAAAATATATTTTTTTAATAAATAAATTTAAAGCACTTAGGTGAAAGAGTTGGTATTAAGGAAATTATTGTATGTAAAAAAATAATAGTATTTATCACTAAAATAGTAGATTAAATTCTAGATTACCATTTGGGTGTATTATAATACCTTATTTTGAAAGTAATGTTAAATATATGTTCCTCTCTGGCACTCTTTAAAATATTGATTAATTTTCCTCTAAAAAAGTTTTTTTTCTTCCAACAAACTGATTCAAATTTTGAAAAAGTGACTCTAGGGGGGGCACAGATTTAACCTAAGCTTACACATTTTTTTCTGACAGTAAAAACAAATATTAAAAACTCTTGCATACACTGCATACCAATTTTAGTATCATCGAAAATATTTATGTTAAAAAATAAGGTGTACAAATACTTATAATGTATTTATCCCTCGTTAAACATTAGTAAAGGCAAATATAATTGTTTTTATTCACAGATATTAATTTCTTAAAAATGTAAAAGAAGCGTCACATTTCAGACAAAAAAAAAATAGAAACCCCCACCCAAAAAAAAAATAAAAACTCAAGTGGTAACTATTTGTGATATTTTTTCCTAAACACGGACCTGTAATTACATTTTCTAGTGATGTAGACATAATATGTAGCTTTTAAAATGTACTTTGAAAAAAAGAATTTGAAAATTGAAATTTTATTTGTAAAATAATCAGCGCGGCGCAAGAATAAATTGCACATCATTGGATTCAGTAATTGTGCTCAAATAAAATTATGACATCGAGGTTGTTGTTTTAAGGAAAAACGATTTTATTTCTTTTTTGTATAGACGGACCTGGGTTTTGATTCTTGTTTATGCCTTAACATAGTAAATTCGGTAAGTTATACTTTTAATGTAGGGAATCTCCTACACTTACACTGAAAGTAGCAAAACCTGACCAGTGTTGCCAGTCTAGTACATTCTCTAAAAATTTGGTACTCTAGTACACTCGAAGAAAAATCTGATACTGTAATTTTTTCAGCGTATGTTTCCATTTGACGTGTAAAATATATTGGGGGGCCTTTCTTGTTTGTGTTGTTCGTTTTTTGCTTTTCAATTAACGAAACCATCACAATTCGAAAAATCTGGGTGCATTTTATAGAATCTGGTACATTTTTTAGATTAATCTGGTACATATCAAAAAAATATTCTGGCAACATTGAACCTGACTACAAAAAATGCTTAGGCAAAGGGATTTTTTTATTGTTATTGTCGTCTAGAAGCAAATTATTTCATTGTCACAAAAAAAACGAAAAATGCATCGATAAGAAACATTATTTTGAATTTGACAGGTTACCCGACAGCTCCCATCATCGAGACATAGTACATGTTTATCTCCCCAACTACAAATAGCTACCAAAAAAACACGATATGCCAATTAGATAAGGCAGGGTTTGCACATCCTTGACTAACGCCTCTAAACTAAAAAATAAAATTCGCTTTCTACTCCTAGTAAGATAATCTACTATTTTCTGTATTTGATATTATTTCCATAAAATTCCTTGAATTACTGACAATGAATTACCTACTCAAATTATTTAGTCTTGACATTTAACCTTGTCCCATATTGTAAGCAGTTAAAGCCATGCTTAATCAGGATTTTTAGAATGAATAGAATCAATCTAAGAATAGGATTACCTTTCGTGGAATAAGCTTTTTAATTGTGGGAATTGAATTGAATAAAATAAAGCTGATTTAGCTTTGAATGAAATGGAATACCATTTTATGTATTTGAGAATGTGGGAAAATGCATTATTGCTAATAAATTTATAAATATACAGAATGTTATCGAAAATGATGTAAATATTTTAAGGGGTAGTAATACTTGTAAAAATATGAATAATGTTAATAAGAACATGTGTTCAAAAATGCATATTGAGGGAGATATAGACTGTACAAATGTAAATGTTTTCAAGCCTACGAAAATAGATAATTTGATCAAAATTTCCAAACTGGTATAGATTTTGTTCCTAAATCTGCTGACGATATCAAAAGTGGCAGGTTTTGTATCAGTAACTTTTTTATTATCAACTTTTTGTACACCTGAATAAATTTTCCAAAACTACGTTCTTTTTTACACAAAAAAGTTACTCTTGTTGCAAATTAAGTATAGATCCATTATATCTTAGAAATATTTCGTTTTGATATGAAGCCGAATCTTGTTGAACAAATGCATCAATTTTACTTAGTTCAACTTCGTCTTCGTTCTACCGTGTCCCTGTATTTTAGAGAAATCATCATGCCTTGGATCGGCACAAGATTTTCGGTGAAAAAGTTGATGGTCAAGCAGTTTTTCAACAAAAGTGGTTCAAGGTATTGATGAATTATTTCAAAAACAAAACGATTTCATGCCTTGAATGATCAGGAAACTCACCAGATCTAAATCCTATTGAAAATCGGTGGGCTATAAAAACTAGATTTCGTAAAATAGATTGTACAACAAAAATTAAACTAATTTATGCTGGAATCCAGATATGGTTTCCATGCTAGAAAATATCAGAAAACTGTAAACAAACTTTTATAAAACATCAAAAAATACTTAAGTGTAGATCATAACTACAGAATACTCCTACAAAAAATAGAGGATTGCTGCCGAGCTACGGGGAACTGGATTTCCGAGTAAATCCAGTTGACAGGTCTTTTGTTTTTCTTAAATTTACGTAAAATTTACTTTAAATGAAAAGTTATTTATTCTGGCTGCTTTTAAAATGAAAGTAGTGTACTTATATTATCTTTGCCACTATTCATAAAAATATTTGCTTTTAATTATTTATAAAAACATACATTTTAAATGTTTTGAATTTTTATTATGTTAAATTTAAATGGTAAAATTTCCCGTTTACGTTAAAGAAACCTTGCTTTCAACTGCTGTAAATATCAACAAAATTGTATCTAATTTGGATAACACATAAACTGTTAAATGTTTATTGTTTACATAAAATGATAGGATAAAATAATCAGAAAATGTTTATGTTAAGACGTTTGAGGTTTGGGTTGAAATATTCGTAGGGATTAAAAAGGGCTTAACTAGTTAATAAGTTGTTAGATATAATCTCTTTCTACTCTAAAATCTGTCAGGTACTTTCTTACAGGTAAATAGGTGAAGTATTCAGTTGCTACAGCTTTCTAAAGACTGCCCCATAAAAATCGATTTTTAAATAATATTCCAGGAATGCGAGAATATTTATTTTATGTAATTAAATCCGAACAGTCATTTTTTATGAAATTATATACCCACACTCTCCTTTTTTTTTCTCTGAGTTCTTCATCTTTAATTGCAGATGCAATTGCAAATATTTTTTCTAAAGAACTATACATTTCAAAATCTTGGGAAAACCAGATAATGCAATCTTATTTTGTTTGCCAATGCCTGCACAAAAGCAGATTCGAACCAATTTACGATGTCTATAAAGAAGATATGTGTGACTATTGGAGAAATATTTTGTATTTGTTTTTAAAAAATCATTGTTTTATTTACTTGCTGTTCGATCCAAACCCTCTAAATATCACATCTCAAATTTTTCATCTCATTCCCTAAAACAAAACTTGAGAATGTATACGAATTTTTAATTTTCTCGTTGACATCAATCGTAATAAGTATGTTAAGTATATGTATTGAAAACACATTGAATCACAACATAAATATTATTTTGAATAACTAATGTAAAACAAGCAATATAATGTGTTATGAAATAAAAAAAAACCTTTATTTGATTATATTTTTAATTACTCGTATGTGTTTGTTATAAACATTAAGTGTAAACTAAAAATAACCTCAAAATGGTTTACATACTTACATTGCGTTTTTTATATAATTTAATTATTTAAGAACAATATTTTTATTTCTCTTTCCATATGGAAATATGTAGTTAATAGTTGTATAGTTTTGTTATAGAATTTCTATAGAATCAAAATATAAAAAGGGGTCCTTTTTGGCTGTATAGTATTATATGTTGTGTAAGAGTTATAACAACCTTTATATGACTTTTTTGCTTGTTGATGCGAGTGTTTTACTAAAATGTTTTCGCAGTTCCTGATGAAAGCGTTATTTCGCTTGAATATTAAAATTCAATCTGGTTAAATCTAATTTTGTCATAAACGATGTTTCTATGGTTTATTTACCAACGCACACGAACAAAATTTATAAAAATTGGGCGCGTATCGCTCATGCAAATGAAAATATTGAGATCAAAGTTCAGTGTAACATTCAATATGCAATTATTTAAATCCGATCAACAATTCGTCGAAATTGAAATTTTATTACATCTGAATGCAATGTAATCACTTGTTTGTTGTTACGATTAATTTATAAAAAGTAGGTATTCGATAAGTGGCGGCGGTTTTCAATGAATAATTAATTAACAGATGTATGGTGTAGACGGTTGATTACATTTCTGGAATTTTCCGGCCATTCTTAGACTTTGAATCACGTAATTTAATTTATTATGCCGTTGGATAGGTGGTTAATTTTAAAAATGGTTTTGATCGTTAACGTAATAGTCCGAGATCATGCGAGAAAAGTATACACTTACAAAACAAGTTTATATATGTATAAAAAAAGAAATGTGATGTACATTTCGACTGGAACAATATTTAATTAAATTTAACATCTAATAAATTAAAATAAATTCGTAGTTTTCATTTTTTTTGTAGTTAATTATACATATTTATTGTATTATTAATGTAATATATTTTTGTTTTAATAATTAATCCGATTTTTGGAAAAATAATGTTCCCGTCCCGGTGTACAATAAATCTAATAATTTTTATCATTTTTTTTTTTTTTTTCATTAATTAAATACATTTTAAATGAGACACTTTCTCAACTTTTCATTAAAATTATCTGACTAGTACTGCCACCATATCTACTACAAGACGTGACGCTTCATGTCGAACAAGGGCTGACATTTTGATTTAGAGATTTCAGTTTTGCTTTGCATACACAGCCTGTATAATTTGTTTACCGTTATTAAATATTCGCATTAATTATTTAAAGCGTATTTCATAATAATTGATCTAGAAACAGCTGTGGTATATAAAAATTAATAATATTTAGTATTTTAATAAACTTTTCATCAAAACAATTTTGTATCGGACAGAAGGCAAAAGTAACAAGAAAGATTTGAATTATAAATTTCAATATTTTTTTTTAATTAGGTATTAATAATCACTCAAACTGTTGCGATAAAACTTTTGCAATTTTTATGATATAAAATTTATAATAGAATTGGTTTTAGATTATAAATTGCGGTTTATTTGTAAATATAAATGAATATTATCTATTGAAGCGTTCATTTTTAATTATATTTAATCTGAGAACTAAAAAGTGTTCTAACAATAACTTTTACAGAATTGTCACTTATTTAATATTAAAAAAATATACCGGTCATTAAATATGAACTATGATTGGTGGATTTCATATCCATACAGTCTCCTTACTAAAATGGATATAAAATTAGATCTGTTTAGTAGACTGATATGATTTACTTATTCGTTTTGTATTTTCTATATAGAATAGATAATAAAAATTAAAATTGTCATTTCTTTAAATTCATTAATTTTTTGTCCGATACTTTGAATCTTCCTGTAAATATCAAATGTTTCTTGATTGATATCATTTCATTGAACACAAAACTACACAACTTTTGTCTAATTAAACCAACTTTATATCTGTTACTGTTTAAGAAATAGCAATACTGTCTCTATGAAATAGTAGGAACTCTAATAGTTTCTTATTGCATTTTTCTTCTTTCAATTAATTTTATTGGAGTGTCCTCTGTGTGTTCTATTCTAATAATAATAATCGATAATAATATGACAGAATTAAAAAAGTATCATGTTCCATGGGAGTATCGCATAATACTGAATGACTTTATGTTCGTATAAAATTATAAACAAATAAAATAAGTGATTTGATTTGTCGCGTTTATTAAATCTAATTTGATTTGTTGTACATCAAAGAAATATTCGGAGCTATCAATTGCTACACCACTCACATTACAGTACTAATTTAGGTATACATTCAGCAGTTAACATGATGTGCTTTGAATGTAATATAATAGATATTGTTAATCTTGGGAAATCATTTTGTTCCTTCTATAATTTAATTTTTATATTATTTAAATATATGTATAGTGGATTTCATCCTGTAAATATACCAAATAATCGATATAAAATATTTAAAATACAACCATCGACAAAAGTTTTTATGTACCGGCTCAAGCTCTGCTCGAAAAAAATTTTTTTCAAACAATTTTCCATATTTTTCTTTGGTTTTTTTATCATCCCTAGAATTCTGGAATTTATGTTTGGATATTTCGGAATTGGACGCAACGACAAACTCTTTTCATGAAAGAGTGGAGCGTACGGCTGCTTTACTCCATTTTTTATGCAAATTTTAGACGCTTAAAATGGCTACATTACACAATAGGCATTGATAACACCTTTAAACTATAAAAATGTAATTTTTTATTTTTTGGCACTTGCGCCTTTTTGTGGTTTACTGATATGCCAGCACATTTACATGTTTTTTTTTATGTATATTTTTAGATTTATTCAAAGATCCACAAGGCCGGAACCCAATATACGTTGTGGCGTAATGAACGGTCCAAGGATCTTGCAAAACCATGATCACAAAACAGATGCAAGACTGCGTAGTTACCCTAAAGTTCTAGTTTTCGTAGAAACGATGTATTCGCAATTAGGAAAAAACATTGCTGAGCTTCTTGTCCATACCAGATTAAAGTAAGCCATAGACAACGAACATCTTTACACTTCATTTGGCAATTCTGACATATGTTTATCTTTCTTCCCTCCAACATATAAAAATTCGTAGGTTCATCTAATCTAGTTTTTCCCAATTAAAACCTATATTATATAATCAGGATTTTTTTTTTTGGTGTGTCATCGGCTTCAACTGCTACGGTTATTTCGCCTCGTGTTCTGTGTAGGCTTTGTTACTGTTTCCCAGCGCCACTTTAGGAACAACACTGTTAATTAGAACCCAACAGTGAATGGTCGAGTGGGGAATCCTACCAAGGCATCACAATTAATTTTAAATAATTTAATTAAATTAAATGAAAAAATCCCGGCCAACGGTGGGATTCTAACCTGAGACCTTCCGATCTCAAAGTCATGACTCTAACCACTGAGCCAACCCACCCCCTGATTTTCTATTGTTATTATCTTTAATAATAATAATAAAAAATTGTTCTAGTGCAGAAGTGTAAAGATGTCATTTAGGCCTTACAAATCCTAAAATATTTTTAATTTTACCACGTAATCTTTAAGGTACAAAATAGAAGTCAGCGGTAAAAGTGTACCGGTGCTCACTAACTTAGACAAAGGCCGTTACGGCGTGATAGTATTCGAAAATTTTAACAAATATCTCCAAATGGACAACTGGAATAGAGAACTTCTCGACAAATACTGTAGGGAATATTCGGTTGGCATCGTTGGATTCATAACACCCGAAGAGGAAACTTACGTCGGCACCCAACTCAAAGGGTTCCCGTTATTCATACATACCAATTTGAAGCTAAAAGTAAGTTTTGGTCAATTTAAACATTGTCTATGTTTCTTAATTTAGTAGATAGTAAGACACTTCACCCAACTTTCCCGATTTTTCCTCGGAACTGGCAACACCGCAACGCATGATTCAATGGTAAGTACGGCTGAAAATTAACCAGAAACTTGACAAAAACTGCAACATCGCATCTTCAGTAGACCGTCCAGCATTGGGATTCTCATCTTTCAATGTTGAGACGACTATCTTCGTTCCATAGAATGCGATTTGGATGTAGTGTCTCTCTCTATTTGATTCGTTACGTGTTGAGTACGCACATTTGTATCCCTGTCCTGATCGATAGTTCCCTTAGGGCCATTTATGCTGCTAGTCATTACGAACTAAGTGAAGCTTAAAGTGACATTGCTAATGGATAAATGTCAGTTTAAACTTGGCTTATTTCCTAACGACTAGCGGTGCAAATGGACCTTAGATACATTGGCCGAATTGAAAACTGTCCGATTATTCCCAGTTTCTAAATTTGTTATTACGTTGACCCTTGGCCCTCCTCTTATCCGTTTTCTGTCTAAGAGATCTACCGATCTGAACAGTCTACTGGAGAAGTAGTGTTACCATTTTTGTCAAGTTTTATTTATCGATGACACTTCGCATTTAATCATGTGGTGCGGTGTTGCTGTTTTACTCTAAAAATTTCCCCAGATCTGAGGAAAAATAGAAAAAGTAGGATGAATTCTTACTGCTATTTTTTTATAATCAAATCATTCTCGTTAATTAGGATGCGGCTCTAAATGCAGCTTCGCAAATTTTGAGGTTAACTCGAGCCGGAGAAACAGTTTGGGGCGAATTACCAGGAAACGATTGGACAGTATTTCAAGCCAACCATTCCACTTACGAACCTCTGGAATGGGCTACCCGCAACGATCATTTTCAACTTAACGACAGTGAGTTTTATCACTAAATGTCAGCGTTGAAATTTAAATAGGATAATTTTTAGGCGGTTCGAAAGTTCCTCTACCGACTGTCATTCAAGATCACGGGCTATATGACAACATCCAACGTGTTATTTTCGGGTCTGGTTTAAAATTCTGGCTGCATCGTTTGCTGTTTTTAGACAGCTTAAGTTACCTTAGTCACGGTCAGCTCAGTTTATCCTTGGACCGAAAGTTCCTGGTTGATATAGATGACATATTTGTCGGAGAAGTTGGAACTAGAATTAGACCCGATGATGTTAGTGCTTTAATTGATACTCAAGAGAGATTAGCTAATATGGTACAAGGATTCAAATTTAACTTGGGTACATAAAAATACTTTTATTATTTTGAATTTCGATTTTTACAATTCTATTTTAGGTTTTTCCGGAAAATATTTTCATCACGGGAACAACGAAGAGGATAAAGGTGACGATATGATTCTTGAAAACTTGGAAAAATTTATGTGGTTTTCGCATATGTGGAACCATCAGCAGCCACATTTGTACGATAATTTTACGCTTTTAATGGAAGATATGATGTTAAATAAAAATTTCGCTAAAGAAAAAGGTAAATAAGGAATACCTTTTATACAATGTTTCAAAAATGATATTCCTCAATGATCCGTTCTAATTCCTCTCTGCTTCGTCTATTTTATAAATGATTTTTATATATTTCCTTAGGAATCCCTGTTGATTCGGGCTACTCGGTCTCGCCTCATCATTCTGGAGTTTATCCCGTTCATGAAGTTCTGTACACAGCTTGGAAAAAAGTGTGGAATATTCGAGTTACATCTACAGAAGAGTATCCTCATTTAAGACCAGCCAGATTAAGGCGTGGATTCATACACAAGAATATAATGGTGCTTCCGAGGCAAACATGTGGGTTGTTTACACATACCATGTTTATTGACCGGTATCCCGGTGGTAGGGAAAAATTAGATGAATCCATTCAGGGTGGCGAGTTGTTCCAGACTATCGTTTATAACCCGGTAAGTGGAAAAAAAATATTTAAGTATCTTTCAGTTTAGCTAAACAATATTTTATAATTTGTACGACGCTTTAGGTCTGGAAATTAACTACGCCAGTTTTTTATATATGTGGTTTGCACAAAGCCTTTCGATACGACGTCAAGAGGACTCGGATAGCACCAAATGGAGATAGGGAATATTCCAAGGGTCAAAATGTCCTTAAAAATAAAAAAAGTCAGGCTTTGTTACTATTACAGTAAAGAAATTTAGAAAGTTCGCGGGCTTTATCTCCGAAACAGAAATATATTTCTTGTTTACAGTTTAAGCATAAAAAAATGTTTAGATCGAAAAAGCGACGAAACAAGTTTTTGGAATCTTTTACAAAAAATTGTAAAATCAGTTCCTAACTATTTATATATTTTTGTTGTAGGTTAATATATTTATGACCCACATGTCAAACTACGGAAATGACAGATTGGGTCTGTACACCTTCGAATCTGTCATCAAATTTATCCAATGCTGGACGAACATAAAACTATCATCAGCGCCCCCACTCCAATTAGCGGAAAACTATTTTAAGCTCTATCCCGGCGAAGCAGATCCTGTTTGGGGGGTAAGTAAAAAAATTGGTAAATTTTAATAAATCGTTACATTGAAAACTATTTTAGAATCCTTGCGACGATCCCAGACACCAAAAAATATGGTCCAGAAACAAGTCTTGCGATTCGCTCCCAAAGTTTTTGGTGATCGGACCACAAAAGACCGGTACTACAGCTCTCTACACTTTTTTAACTCTTCATCCAGCCATAGCTAGTAATGTCCCAAGTCCTACCACATTTGAGGAAATTCAATTTTTCAATGCTCACAATTATCTTAGAGGTTTGGACTGGTAAGTTAAAATTATGTTTTCTTTTCTCTTCGCCCACCATCTTTGGCTCCTTTGATACACATATAACTTTAACACATCAATACAACAATAATTTAGTAGGATAATTGATTAGGACACAACTAATGCCAAATTTGCAAAGGCTTTGCCATCTCTTTGTCAACTATGGCATTGATTCTAAGGTATGAAGAAGTGGTGTTGCTTATTCAATGACTTATTAGAGTTTATATCGGGTCGGTAGTGTAGCGGTCTAACGCGCTTATATTCATTTATAGGCAAGTTTATGAGTCTGAGACTGCTGGACTTCGAATCCCAGACCAGACCATGTGGATTTTTAATTAAATTGCATGGTTCGGTTTAGGATTTGATGTGTGCCGTATTAATAGAAATTCAATTTCTGTTGATATGACATGCAGATTAAAAAATCGCCATGCATTACCGTCTCGATGATGGTGGGTGAGGTTTTCCGTGTTTTTCTCACCTGTAAGTCAAAGGGACAATCATCTTTAAGTCGCCCCGGAGCGCCACGGTAAATAATAATAATTGTCGTCCCTTCCCCTACACAAGTCGTTCCGTCGACTTCAGGGGTTGAAATTCACTCGTAAGGGGGTGAATTAGGGAGAGTATTATTATTATTATTATTATTATAATTATATGATGAACATGTTTGTAGGTACATGGATTTTTTCCCGACGGATTCAAATTCTTCAGCTAGGTACTACTTCGAAAAAAGCGCTACCTATTTCGATGGTGAATTGGTTCCGAGGAGAGTCCACGCGCTACTACCGCACGCTAAATTGATTACAATTCTTATATCACCAGCCAAAAGGGCGTACTCGTGGTACCAGCACACCAAAGCGCACGGCGACATCATAGCTAATAACTATAGCTTTCATCAAATCATTACCGCCAGCGATACCGCCCCGAAGCCACTGCGAGACTTGAGAAATAGGTGAGGAACTATTAACATGAATAGAGAATTTTTTTTTAATTGATTGTTTGGTTTTTAGATGTTTGAATCCCGGAAAATACGCCCAACATCTTGAGAGATGGATGACGTATTTCCCTTCACAGTCTCTTCATATCATCGACGGTGAGGAATTGAAAAACAATCCTGTTGAAGTAATGAATGAACTCCAGAAATTTCTCAAGATAATGCCATTCTTCAACTACACAGAACATCTAAGGTACGTTTTTAAATAGTACTTGACAGGACTGAAGTAAATTAGACTAGATTCCTATATTTTTGCTTTGGGAATTTGTTTTGTACAGACCTTTTAGAGACATCCAAAAAAATTTCAAAACATTCTCGTATTATTTGTGATTTTGCAAAGATAACATGTTTTTTATGTTGAAGGTTTGACCCTAACAAGGGTTTCTACTGTCAAGTAATCACTGGCGACTACACGAAATGCTTGGGTCGCAGCAAGGGCAGGCAGTATCCTCCGATGGAAGAAAAATCTCTCAAATATTTGCAAAGGTACTATCTGAGCCACAACACGGCTTTAGTCAAATTGTTCAAGAAAAACGGAAATAGGAATATCCCTAATTGGCTCAAGGAAGATTTGTCTGATAAACCTGATAAAGATTAACTATTTATTTTCTAAAAGTTTCTTAGATTTTTATTTAAAAAAATGATATATTATGGTGATCGCCTGAAATTTTTGTGCTTACCGAAGTTCTTAGTCATACTTTTGGGTATACCAAACTTTCAAATTCTTGAGATAACAGTATTTTTGTGAATATTTTCTTAGGTTTAGTATAATTTAAAAACCGTGGTTATATTCTTTTTTGTTTATTAACTATTAATAATAACGGGAATACGAGGTGGGTGTAAGATTCTAAAAGATGCATATTTTCAAATCTTTCCGATCATTCACCCTGGCATAGAATGATTCATCTTCTTCTTCACAGAACCTGCATAATAATACTTCTATTTCCATTACTTTTCTGGTTATTCTGTCTGATTTCATTTTTATTAGGCGACCATACCAGTTTTATCATTTCTTTTTGATCTCTGTCATTATTGGTTTCTGTTTCGTTACTTTTTTTATATTATCTTCAATCCTTGCTCTGCCTCATTCAATTTTTTCCACACTATTTTCTCAATTACATTTATTTTTATCTGCTGTTTTTTTTTTTAGAATTATATGATGAAATTTTATCTTTATGTATTGGTTTATTGAAGAAGTATGATTCTGATTAATTTGTACAAAATCTTATAAAGCAAAAATAGCATTTTATTGGACTCTTACATTTCCACCTCGTCTTCCATTAACATTAAAACCCTTTACCGTGCAAAACTCTAAATGTAAAAATTTGAAAATTGGTACATATTTGTACCATTAACATTCTTTGTAGTACACATGTACCACCACCATTTTTTGTGGTACGCATATGTACCACTCATGAAAAAGGCTAAAATATTCACAAATTATTACAGAAATAAAATAACTTGACATAATTCTGTTCATTTTATTTAAAGTGCAGCATTTTTGGTTGAGTTAACCAATTTTTTCAAAAATCAAAATCTCCATGCTTATTCTGGTGCAAATACGTACACATTTTCAACCGGTTGCAAGAATGGTCATTAAAATTTATGAAATTGATAAACTTTAACAAAACTTGAGAATATGATCTGTCTTAATGACACGAACTTCAAATTATTCACAATCTAAACGTGTCAAAATTTTAATGAATCGTGGTAAAAATTTGTAAATATTTTAGTCAAATACAACGTTTCGTACAGGTACTCGTTAAAGGGTTAAAATTGAGTTGCACGATCTGTCAATGAACTGTTTATTTGTTTGTTCTACTCAATAAAACAGCTATGGTAGAACAATAATGTTCCAATCGTCCGTTGCCTAACCAGTATAAGACAAATGCTCAATTTTTAACGCCCATTTACTATTTATTAACTAACATTTCATGCAACTCGTTATTTTAATATTTTATTTATTCTTAATAATTTGGTCGCTTTCCTAATTACATGAAGCTATAAACAACTTGATATAACAATAAGAATTACAAAATCAAACAACAAATGTATTACTATCTAATCGACAATGTAATAATTCGTGATATGCTAATTATTATCAGATATAATAGATTATTTAGCGTTAATGATTGGTGCATCTCTAGTTCTGCTGGTATTCAAAATGACTGTATAGGGAAAATTAAATTCGGACCACCCTCTTGTTTGTAAATATCGAGAGGTAAACGGCAAGTCAAAAATTGTATGATTAATTCCTACAATTCCTTTAAAATATCTCAATTAATTTGCAATTTCCATAATTCTTCGATAATTCTCACATTTCCTCAGCAATTTTCACAGTTCCTCTCAATTCCTTTAATTTTGTACATTCTTGACAATTTCCTAACATTGTACACCTAATTCCCTCTTGCTCTCTGCAATTCCTTGGAAATTCTTCAGCTGTTCCTTTAATGCCCTGGCACTTCCCATAATTCCACCACAATTATTTTGCAATTCTTCGGTAATTTCCATAATTCTCTTGCAATTCACATAATTTCTTGAAAATTCTTTGTAGTTCTCTAACCTTGAAAACCTATTTTCCTCTGTGCTTTACCTTCTGCCTTCTCTAACCAATTCCCCTCATATCTCTGCTATTCCCATAATACCTCTGCACTTTCCATAATGTAATCATCTGAATTTTGATACCTATAAATATGTACCTAATTGTCAATTAAGATTAATTAGCATAGCTATCGGATATTAAATGTCCATAAGATACAAACTTGACTGATTTAATATATAAGTTTGCAGCTTTTATCTTGTTTGATTGATTTTGTATTTCATTAATTCACACCCCCTGTCAAAATAAAGCGACCCCGTATTTTAGTACAAGTTTTAAATATTTTTAAGCAATTTTGTGTATATTTCGTGTACATTGATTAGATATTATTTTTGTACTTAAAACGTTTTTTTTTTTTGTGAGTTCATAATTAACTGTTTTTTTTTTTTGTTATATTTAAAATAATCAAAATGATTGTTATAAATACCAAAATTATGAGTGTATAAGCACTCAACGTGTCACAGAAATTATTTTTGTGGTTTAAAAAAGAAAAATACGGCAAATAAATCGTAATGGTGACATATCAACACGTAGTGGCAATATTGTACTTTTTGTAAAAAAATTGTTAGAAAAATATTTTGCGAAAAAAACATATTTTGAATACCTACTACATTAGATCGCAAGAAAAAATACGTTAAATAAATTAAAATCGGTCGTAAAATACAATTAAGAAGAAAAAAATGCACTCAGAATGAATTCAATTATCTACTATAATTCTGATGTTAAATCGAACATGTAAATTTGTACATATTTGAAATTTTTTTGCGACAATTGTTTTGTTACCATATTTAATGAATATTCAATTGAAAATATATGTTAAACAAGTCAAAAATCCCATTATTTGACAGCTGCCAACATTTCTGAATTTGACATATGTCACGATTCTGAATTTGATCTGTCAACGTTTCTGAATTCGACACCTGTCATAATTTTTGAATTCAACACCAGCCACCATTTCTGTATTTGGCATCCGCCAATATTTTTGAATTTGACATTGTCAACGATTCTAGGGTATACTCATCTGCTTGACATTCCTGGAAAACCGTTTAAAGGACCTGAAAATGTTGACTTAAACGTCAATTCACTAACCGGTATATTTTTACGGTTATCATTAAATCGAATGTCAATCTGTCAAAAGTGACGTAAATCTCGGCCGTGGTCCAAATATAAACAACAAATTTAGTTTTTGTCAGGAACCGCTATCAAAAATCCTGGTTAGTAGTTGGTTAATATCGGTCCATACCTATATTTGGCAACTGTCAACGATTCTAAATTTGACATCTGTCAACGTTCTGATTTAACGTACATATTCAAAAAATACTACAATATCGAGTTATTTTTCAGTAACTGTTTAACAAATCGTGAAATAAGTTTCAAATATGTGTCAGATATGTTTCGTAACTAATTAATAATTAATTAATCTTTAAAAAAGAAATCGATGTGCAATAGTAATTTCCTTACGTCCAGTGATAGAGCTTGAACTGAGTAGTTTTCACAAAAATCTCGGTGTAAATTTTTGTGTGTATTATAGAATAGTTCGGTGTATCATCGTTTAAAAAAAAACAACTCCTCTCTGCATTATTTATTAATAACGGTTCAGAAAATATTTATTAAAGCATCTGTCAGCTGTCAATAAATGACATTTTGTAATGTGAAAGGAAAACGAAGTCATTTTAGGAGTTTTTAGTAATAAAGTAAGGCTTAATATTATATAATTTTAGTAAATTAAGTAACAACGTTTATTCGCTTAAATATTGAAATTTGTCTGTCCACTGTTCAATATGTCCTCCATTTGATTAAAATATGTCTACCAACTTTTACTCCAAGTTTAATCCACTGGGTTAAGATCAGGCAATCTTGCTGGTCATGCTTAAAACTTGAAAAACATCTAATTGGCATTGTGTGTTTATGAGAATTTGGAGAAAACGTACACCTTACTTTATATTAACGCCTTATATAACTATAATGTTTGATAAATTTTAGGAAAAGTACATTGTCAAATAAAATATTTTCTGAACAATTCAAAAAAATAATGATCTTTAAATTTATGTCGAAAATATTTGAAAACTGAGGTTAAAATTAAATTCCGTGGCAGTTTTCAATATATCTTTTGAATTTAGGTGTTTTTGTTTAGGCCAGAATAGTTTTTAGTTATTACAAACATATCTCTATGACTGAGTGTTGCTATTTAAAAAAAAAATATGTCTCAACTTGAAAAATATAGTTTTTCCACTATTTGTATTAATAATTATTAATTTTTTGTGCCATAAATGAACCAGTAGCTAAACATCACAAAACATTGTACTTTTTAAGTTGGGATGTCATTTAAAACAAAATAAAAATGTAAATATATATGTGTGCCATTACTATTAAAATTTCGTGGTATTTAATTGCATACCGGCTAATTCAATTTTAAAATCGCCTCAAATGTTTTTATAACGCATTTTTTATGACGTTCCTGCTCATTTTAAACGTTTTTACTGATTTTAAATGTGTCTGCAATTGTTTTGAACTACCCCGTATATGAAGAGCATGCTGCACAATTTTATCAACAATCGCCATTCATAGGCGTAACTAGGAAGACAGGGAGGCATCCTAAAAATGCGTCAAAATAAGATTTCCTATCTACTTTTATTTCCAACACAAAGGGTTGTGTCTCCCTTTCCAGAAAAATTATCCAGTACGCCCATGCCACCGCCTTGAGATCTACGCAGCAAAAATTCCTTTGAAATGCAGCTCATTATTGAGAAACAAAGTTCGGCAATACAATAATTGACAAATTGAAATTTGACAACCGACATTAGACTTTGACAATTGAAATTAGACTGACAACTGACGTATTAAAACTTGACAAAAGCGATCATAAACAGTCTGTTCATCAGGATTCTGCATTATAGATTATTTATAATTTAAAGTAATATTACTACACATAATCTTGACAGCCAATGATTGTTTCTGATTATTGACGAAATAAAAAAAAACCCTGTATTTTTCATATTTTAATTGTCATTATTAATGTTTTACATATTCTGAAAACAATGACCTACAAAAACTTAACATTTTACAATTTTTTCTTGTTGATGTTTAGATTATAAAAAGCCGGTGTTCTAGTTTAAGATTTCTGCTATCGTGATTGATGCATTTAGATTTGAAACATACATTTTCAAAAATAAAATATTTAATTTTGGTCCAACTTAGTATAATTGAAACAAATTAACGAAACCATTATATTAATGTTTGTTTAATGCCTTATATAAATAAAAAAAAATCTTTGAAAATATGATTCGTTTTTGGAATTGATGAGTTTTCTCAGACGCCCATGTTATATTTATTATCATATTTAAAATATATTTCTTTTTATGTAAATATTTGTCAATATAGTTGTTAAAAAAACGTAAATATGACAATAAAATATAATGACTAAAAGTGTTTTGTTTCATTTAACCTTATTTAAGGCACCCACTTAATTTATTTTGACGCTAATATAAGTTTCCAATATATTAAAAACCATTAACTCCCTAATAAGTTACCACGTGACTAAATTTTAACCATACACCCTTCTACTCTGCTGGTAATTTTTTATATAATGTGAATACCATTTATGGAATAAAACAATCTTTAGTTCGCAAAAAAAAAACTTATTGCAAGTGTGTAATGAAATGAACCAGATGTGTGCAAAAGGGTTTACAATAGCGTCGTGGGAGCCATTTTCAACCAGCCCGGCCCTGCTGTTTCGTTATTCAGTCAAATAAAAATGGGGAATTAAGGATTGAAATTAAAAAAAAAATCAAAACTAAAGCGGTATCAACATGAAATTTTTAGTAAAAATCAAGCTCTATGGGGGGATAAAGCCTATGGATTGAAAAAAAAACTATAAAATTGGGGGTGTTAAGGGAGCCTGTTAAACTGTGAAGAGAATAATATAGAATTCCAAGTATTATATAACTTCATTCTAGTGTTTTGTTTGATTTAGCGTATAAATGTTCTCTATTGACTTCTTAGCAAAAACCTAGTTTTTAGTAAAACTTTAAAACATCAGGTGAAATAGTTCCTACTTTTGTGCCTATTTAAGCTTTAAATACTGGGTTTCCTGTAAATATACCAACAAACTTTTAGGGGTGGTAGGAGACATCAAAATAAATATTTTTGTTTAATATACAAATGTCCAAAAACGCAAGATTTCCAAAATACAGTGAATTTTTTAGAAAAATAGTAAATATTTTTATAATTGTTTTAAATAAAGCAACTAAAAATACAAGTTTTTGGTCCCTTGATATTTTTCTGAAAATAGTTGCACGTCTCTGAAGCAACCAAAAATACAACTCAAAACGAAAATGAAGCTAGATACAAAAAAATTGTATTTTTAGTTGCTTTATCAAGATCAATACAAACATTTCAAAAATGTACAGGACGATAATCTTTTACAGCAAAAAGTAATAGACTTCCCCGTGGGCACGCCTACGGAAATTTTGGATAAACGCGAATAGATCCAAAAGATACCTCATTAAGATCTCAACAAACTAAAAATTTTATTGAAATCAATTAAAAAGGTTTTAAGATATTTGATTAAAAATAAACATTTATAAAACTTTAACACTCTATACCTCAGATACGAATAGTTTTCGAACATTTATGTTTATTAAGCAAAAAATGTTTATTTTGTTGTCCCTTACCATCTTCGAGCATGCTTACCATCCTTAAAAGTTCGTCGGTATATTTACGGGACACCTTGTATATCTTTGGGGCTTTATTGATCTATATATGCAACCAACTATGCTAATCATTGTTAAAAGAATTATCTACCTTTAAGGTATAATTGATGACATGTTTGTCAAATTGACACGTCGATCATAACAAAACAAAGTTCAAATAGGTAACCTAACATTTTTTCGGTAATTTTTTCAGACCATTTCTGTGTGCAAAAAACTAAATATGAGATAATTAAAATCCTTTTTTATAAATAAAAGTAATCATTAAATTAGTTCATAATGAGTAAGCAGAAGAAGTTAAAAATTGCCTTCATTCACCCTGATTTGGGCATCGGAGGAGCGGAAAGACTTGTTTTAGACATAGCTGGAGCCCTAAGTTCGTCCGGTCATCAAGTAAGATTTTTAACAAACCATTTTGATCCAACACATGCATTCGATGAACTCAAAAATGGTAATTATCCAGTGGAAGTGTATGGGGATTGGTTACCAAGAAGCATTTTTGGAAAATTCCAAGCTCTTTGTGCTTATATACGCATGATATATCTCTCTATCGTCTACCTTTTATTTATTAGAAGGAATGATACAGACCATCCAGATTTGTATTTTACTGATTTAATACCAGTCGCTAATGCATTTTTAAGACTTGTTAATGAAAAAGTTGTATATTACTGTCATCATCCTGATTTACTGGCTAGCACTCCAGGAGGGAAGTTCAAAAAAGTATATAGGATGCCTATTAACTGGTTAGAAATGTATACTACAGGAATGGCAGATGTGATTTTAGTTAATAGCCAGTACACTGCTTCAGTTTTTAGAGATACATTCCCGCAAATAAAGAAAGATATCCAAATTTTATATCCTACAATAGCTGATTCTTATCAAAAAACTGTATCACAGTTAAAACAAATTAAACCTATAGAACAACTAGTTCCAGAAATTAAAACACCTGGCAAGAAAATTGTATTTTTATCAATAAACAGATTCCATCCTGCTAAAAGACTAGAATTTGCAGTTTTAGCCCTAGATAAATTAAGAAATGCAGTTTCTACAACTGAATGGGACAAAATATTCCTTATAGTAGCAGGTGGGTATGACCCACAATCAGGTCTCAATGCTATTACATATTTAGATCTTGTAACTCTTACACAACAAAAAAAGTTGGAAGATAAAATCATATTTCTTAAATCTCCAAATGATAATTTAAAAGCTGAACTACTAAATTCTTGTACCTGTCTTTTATACACTCCAGTTAATGAACACTTTGGTATAGTGCCTTTAGAAGCCATGTTAGTCTCAAAACCTGTCATTGCTGTTAACAGTGGGGGTCCCCGTGAAACTGTTGACCATGGAGTTACTGGTTACCTTTGTGAACCTACTGCTGAGAGTATGGCTGAGTTTATGGCCAGAATTGTTAATGGAAATCATGAAGAAATGGGAAAGAAGGGTAAAATTAGATTGGATGAAAGATTTTCATACAATAGCTTCAAGAAGAGTCTTCAGAAGGTGTTGATAAATTTGGAAAATGGAGCTAGTAGGAAGAACAATTAATTTTTCTTAAATAAGCTTTATTATAAGTAAATTTAAAATAAACTTGTGTATTTTCTGTTTATTAGTATTTTTTGGGTAAAAAAATAGTTACATAGTTACAACAGCAACAGATATTTTTCTCACACTTTATATAAATTGTTTTTATCCTGTAAGCATTTCACATGTTATTCTATTTAGTTTTGTACATAGACAGGTATTCTGCAGTCCTAAAAACAGATGCATGATGTATCTACAAAAAATTGAATTTTAATATTTTTGCATCAATGGGTTCCTGGAAAGTTAAATTAACTTTTTGCCAAGCAGAAATGCTGTATAAGTTTCAAAGATATTAAAAAACCAACATATTAATTACCCAGTTCTGAATACTTAAGGGCTAAGGAAATAACTTTAAATCCCATTTTCTTCGCTTAATGCTCTCAGTAGATACAGCATTTGTTTTTAGGACGGCAGTATTACTCCCTATTATAATAATAACTCATTAGTTAAATAAATTATATATTAAAAAAGTAATTAAGATACAAATGTTTAGCTTAAAATAATGTATATATACAGAAGGATTGAAAATTATTTCGTCCAGGATACTTTAGGTATATCAAAGTGCTCCGTAAGACTATCCAAATGTTGATTAAACTTTTCCACTCTTTCTTTGTGAGTCTGAGATGCTTTTTCCAATATCCTTTTAGCTTTCTGAAAGAAATTATTCATATTAAACAACTTATATGATCAAAGTTGAGGTATGTACTAACCATTTTTTCCTGTTGCTGTAAAAACGCCAGTTCAGCTTTGGTCTTGTTTTGTTTTGATTTGGATTCTTCAACCCTTTCTTCGGATTCAATGGTTTTTGTAACTTGTTCCACTAATTTTTTATCTTTCTTTTTTTTCTTTTTCTTGATTGTTGTATCGGATTTAAGCTTGAGTTTACCCTTTGCAGCTACTGCGTATGGGTCGTCTTCAACAGCACCCATATCTAAATGTAAGTTTACAACAATATCTCAGGGTAAAAAAGATTTTTTTAGTTTTTCTATGTCTCTAGTTGTAATATCAAAATATAAATAATAACCTTCACAATCACAAAATTTGACAACTGACAGTGACATTTACCATATGTCATGTCATATTTCAATTTCATAGCAAATTTTAGAGACGCTCCGTTATCTAATTATACTTGAAATGAAAACATGACGTCATTAATATAGATTGTCCATTTTGTTTGTTAGACGAGAGAAAAAGTATCGTGAAATAAGTAGAAATCTTAAATCTAGTTTATATATAATGATAAAGATCTTTACGCTTGATGTATTTTATAGTCACGAATCTTCTATTTCTTCATTTTTGTTTATTTTTATCTGATTTATATCAAACTTTGATATGTCGTGCTGTTACTCTATAGAGTTGAGTTTGTTTAGAATATTTATCTAACGGCAAAATTTTATATCTATATCTAACAAAAATAACGATTTTTGTATAAAAAAAACCCAAAGTTAGTTCCTCAACAGATTGTAAAAGAGACACATCGTTTTTTGCTCGCTTTTTGTATAAGTGCAGGGGAGGGGGTGAACAAACTGTACTATGTCTTGGTGGTAGGAGCGGTCATGTGAGCTGTGAAATCTATAATATAAAAATGAATCGCAAAATGTGTTGGTAAGGGCATAACTCAACATCGCCTGGACCGATTTCGCTAATTCTTTTTTGTTTTGTTTGTTATTGTCAGGAGAAGGTTCTTATGAAAGAAAAAATTAAGAAAATTGCGCGGAAAAGTAGAAAATTTCTGTTCCCTTGATCACGGCATCACGCGTGAACGGTTGGACCGATTTCGCTAATTCTTTTTTTGTTGTATTTGTTATTGTCAGGAGAAGGTTCTTATGAAAGAAAACATTAAGAAAATGGCACGGCAAATTAGAAAATTTCTATATACATAAAAAATGAATCCCTATTTCCCTTGGTCACGGCATCACGCGTGAACGGCTGGACAGATTTCGCTAATTCTTTTTTTGTTGTGTTTGTTATTGTCAGGAGAAGGTTCTTATGAAAGAATAAATTAAGAAAATTGCGCCGAAAATTAAAAAAATTCTATATATATATATAAAAATGAATCCCTATTTCCCTTAGTCACGGCATCACGCGTGAACGGATGGACTGATTTCGCTAATTCTTTTTTAGTTGTGTTTGTTATTGTCCAGAAAAAAACAAAGAATGTTGTATATCATAAAGCATTAGAATAATAAACACTTTGTTTCTGAAATATTTTTTTAGTTAATTATACCAATTCGAAATCAATATTCATAGTTAAGACAGGACAACCTCTGTCGGGTCCGCTAGTTTAAAATAAAGTTACGCATCGACTGATTAAAAAAATGCTTTTGTAGATATTTTATATCGTCTGATTTTACTACTTCCAGTGTAGGGATTCCTTCAGCCTGAATTTTTCATTGTAAAAAGTAAATATCAGGTCCCTTGGCCAGAATCCCTACACCGGAAGTATCAAATCTAGATTTTTGTATAATTTTACATATTATTTTTTGATAAATGAATAAAATACAAAGGCAATTAAAGAGTTGGGTAATAAAAATAAGGTAATGCATTATGCAGCATTACTGATGGCTGATTAAGACGTAATTTTTAAGGTTATCTAATCAATTATTCAAAATCAGTATAAGGAAATTGAAATTCTTCGACTACGTACCCAGGTGCTAATATAAAGTACTAATGTGTAAGTCCATGTACTATTTAATATTCTTAAAATTCGTTTCTCGATATGTTTTGGTATTAGGAAAAGGTATTATAAGAAAGATGCTTCAGCGCACATCTGTTTGTTGATATTTTGTTGTCAGCGTTTTCTAACCGCACTTGAAAAGATCACAATAAAGGCATTGATTTATGATTATTACCCATGGTATGGAATTCGAGTGTTTTAGGTTCCTCGAAATTAAATAGATTCATTCTGTTATTCTAGCGTTTCTAAAAGGTACTGTTTAGTGGTTGTAGGTGCGGTTGGTGAAAAGATTGTTTTATTGTGAATTGTGGGTGATAGGATTTGCAGGTGAGATTTATCACTGAGTGTCCTTTTTCTTTGGTATTTGAGTTTTTAGATAAATGCCTTTAATATTTATTGATATTTAATTGTTGATTAGATTATAAAAATAACTGTTTGAATACTGATTTAATAATTATTCGTGCGCACATAAAAATGATATCTGGAGCGAACAATTGCGCGTTTAATCCCTTTTGTTCATTGCACGGCTCTGTTTTCGACCTTCGGGGTCAAGCTCTAGTAGGTAGGGCGAGTATGTCGCGCGTTTAATCCCTTCATACTCATTGCACGCTCAATACTAGTAGAAATGTATATCTGGAGCGAACAATTGCGCGTTTAATCCCTTTTGTTCATTGCACGGCTCTGTTTTCGACCTTCGGGGTCAAGCTCTAGTAGGTAGGGCGAGTATGTCGCGCGTTTAATCCCTTCATACTCATTGCACGCTCAATACTAGTAGAAATGTGGGGCGTATCGCGTGTTTTATCCCTTTACGCCATAAGGGTAGTAACTAGGCAGGGGTCACGTCGCGCGTTTTATCCCTTCGTGACCATATTTCATACTCCTAGGTACTATGCCTTAAAAATGAAATAGACAAAACAGTAATAAGTACATTGCGTGGCTTAATCCCTTTGTACTTGGTGATTGTTCGAATAATTATTGAGATAATAAATGAATGATAAGAAAATAAAAGATTATTCAGATAATAAATTATTACTAAAGTAATGTTCACGGACACTCACTAGTATTTTCTTCTTTATAGGAAAACCTGACTATGTGCACTAAATGGACAGCGCCTCGACCATCAAAACAAACATCCTGACACTTGTTATTTTTTATATTGTTTGGTAATTATATAAACATTTATTAATTTGTCTTTTCACCTTTGTTTACTAAATTAAGTTTTATCTTTATCTAAACATACCTCTCTCCCTCTCTCCTTATATAGCTTTCTCTCTTCCTCCTTTTTCATCCTCTTACAAATGTCACAAGGAAACTGCCTAATTAGAATATATTAAAGGTAATCGTCTCAAGGTCAGTTTAAAATATATTTCTATTTGGATACCCTTTAAACGTTTATTTATATTTATAAGAATTTATCACTTAATTTGATTAAAGAATATTTTAGTTATCCTTCTGATTAGGTAACAGTAAAAATGTTCACCAAGGGCCCTACAGGAGTTTTGTGATTGGCGCCCAACGTGGAAACCAATATAAGTTTATATGCGGTCGGTGGGGACTGGAAAAATATTATTGCTTCAAAAGTGACACAACTCAAAATTCATAATTTTTTTTGAGTTAATACCATGAATGTGAATAATAAACAATTTTACATCAATCATCAAAATGGTTTTAACTTAAAAGACTCGTCTAGATGGCGCATTTGTTATTTTTGAGGTTTTGATGTAGAGTTGTTTACCAATCCCATTCATATATTCCTAGAAGAAGAAGAAGAAGAAGTGAATTTTGAGTTGTGTCACTTTTGAAGCAAGAGTGCCATATATGAATATTACCACTTTGATTGGTCGAGGAACACGCTATATATTGAGTAAATATACCCTCTACGCTGAGTACCGATTCGCTGAGTAAGACGTAGATTGAGTCATTAACTGTAGTAAACATCAGAATATTTTTCCTAGTAGGTACCCACCTATTTACTTCTTAATTAGTCGTAATTATAGAAATGCTGTGTATAATAGTCAATATTAAAGAAATTAAGCAAAAAAGCATACTTAATAATGTAATTCAGTGGTTCTATTGGATGTCTTCAACCAGTTTAAGTAGGTACTTTTTAAAGTAGGTAAAATAAAGTGTATTATATTGGCTGGATAGAAATGTTGGAGAGTTGCATCTTCTTGTTCACATCTCAACAAATGCTAATAAGTTACCAACGTTTCCAAACCCCTTAAGTACGTCGCTGTTATCGCAGCGCGGTTACAGCATGATCTAACAATTAAAATGCATTGCAATGTCTCTGTAGAAATGGCTTATTATATTTTCTATTCATGAAGTATTTACCAGGTTTTATCTCATGACAAATGCACGACTGGCATGTTGTAAACCCATTCATGATCCAATTTTCGCTAAAAATGAATAAAGAATTAAACAGTGATTTTATGAAACTTCTGGGTAAGCATGTAGGCATTTCAAACCAGATCTGGCTTCAGATCTAATTGAAGTTAAAGTTTAAAATAATTATTACACAAAGGTAACCCTGGTAATAATTGTGTATATATTTCGGTGCAATATTCTTAAATATCTGAAAGACAAAAAACATAGATTCTAAAACTAGAGCCCTATATAAGATCAGAGTCGAATTTTAAAATATGGTTATTGTTACTATTCTGTTAGCTATTTATTGTGTTCTATATTCAATAAAATCCTAATATTATTTTAGTGAACTTCTTTTTATTTGAAATTATTAAGTATAAGTACAAAGTACAAATAAAAAAAGAAGACCTAAAAATGGCAGAGGGGAAATAATGGGGGTTATGCTAGGCCCAAATTTAACAAAAAATGGACGAAGGAGCTTAAATGCTTATAAAGAAATTGAAGACGAGCTCAGAGGTGAAACCATCATTATACTATATATAAAAGCACAGCGTCTGAAGTGGGCAAGACATGTCATGAGGAGAAACTAGACATAATTGTTAAAAAGAATATTACATTAGACCACACTGTGGCCAAGGAGAGGGAGAAGACCGAAGAAAAGATGGCGGGAGGATATAGAAGATGAATAATAGAAAAATAATCTGAAAATTGAAATGAGCAGTGAAGAAAAATAACGTATGAAGCAGGAACCCACCAAAATTTGTAATACACTCAAGAAAACGAGTAATTCACCTCAACAAGTGGATTTTAAACGCATTATACGTTAGTCATAATTGCTAGATGAAGATGATATGTAAAATCTATTGAAGCCAGTCCTGGATCATATTTATAAGAACACATAAATATGAATATGTATTTAGTCACACTCATACTATGAGATAAAATACCTTTTTTGAATCAGGATATGCATAATGCAATGGTGGGCAAATTTCTAGCTCTCCTTCCTACTCACAAAACTGACTTAGTTTTTTTTTTAAATAATATGTTATCCGTGGGGATTATTTTCTTTAAATTATATACCTATTATATCGAACCAGCATTTTTTAGATTGGATATATGATGTTCTATATAATTTAATAACCATTTCTTTTATAATATATTATCTATCTTTTATTATTGATGACATAATGAGGCTATAGATAGAAAAAAATCAGTTGGACGTAGTTTATACTGACTTTTCAAAAGCACACGACCAAAGGGAATATTCTGATCTCCAAGTTGTTCCATATGGTCTGCTCGAAGCCCAGATTTTAATCCTAGAGAATACATGTGGGGCCATTTAAATTGCTTACAAAACGAATTGAATATTATTTGGAAAACTATAGACTAAGAAGGCATGCCAAGACGAATGTAGAGATCGAGGAGATAACACCAGATACTACAAATTTCATTTTCATTAAATAAATGAATTTTTTTGAGAAAACTACACCCTGTATATTTTTCACGAATATAAAAACTTATAAACCCTGTACCCAAACTAACCAACATTATATCTTAAGCTTATAGATTAACATTTTTAAGAATGATTTAAATTAAATATTTTTAAATTTTGCATGTGATACGATACTTTTTGTGTGTGAGGTGTACTTTCTACGCAAAAAACTATCAATGTTTCTACCTCAACTCTAAAAACATAAAATTTAATAGTTGTAATCTCGTGACTTTAAGTTAAACAAAAATGTTGCATTGTAATAAAACTATTAGCAATTGTGCGTGATTGAAAATAATTATTAAGGTAATAAATCAAGACATCTGTGGATCGTCCTTGACCTCCAATAGTTGTCTTTCGACTCCAGGATATCGTTGAATTTTCTTAGAATAAAATAATTTTTACATGTTGTATTCATAGGCTTTAGAAAAATTCTTGTATGTTGAATGGGCAATTGTTCTTCCTTTTAAGTGCCAGTATGGATTTAATTCAGATACGTGCGTAGTTATCACACGATTCATATTTGTCTTTGTTGCTTATTACCTACTTTAGAAACATTTTTTGGAAATCAATCTTTACTTAAGGTCTCATAAACTAGATTAATTCTTGGTGCATGAAAGTTTGAATTGCATTTTAAGAATATTTAGTGAGAGATGCCCAGTTTCCCTTGTTCTCTCATCATCATATGTCCTGCCCATTTCAGACGCTGTGATTGATGTATAATATGATGATTTCACCTTCGAGTTCGTCTTCAATTTTATTGATTTTTAGTCTCCTTTCTCCACTTGCCAGGCAAAAGAAGAAAAAGTATTCTATAATTTTATTTTTGTATTCAACGATATTTAATATTAGCAGGCATTTATTCAAGTTCCTCTACAAATCACTTAGTTTTTTAAACATCTACATCTATTAGTAGGTAATTATTAAGGAAGACAAGCGAAGAAAAATTAAAAGATTGACTGACTTACCTGGAAAAGAAGAACAATTGCAATTTTTCAAGTTTGTCTTCCGAAAATAACTAGAAACCCTTCCTCCTTTATTGTCTTATGTGATCTAAATATTTTCTCGGAACTCTTTAAACTTGTAACAAGTTGGATACAATTATAACATTACAGTAATGGCATGTAGTAGTTATTTTCGGAAAACAAGCTCAAAAAATTTCGATTATTCTTCCTTACGAGGCAAGTCAATCTTTTAATTTTATTATTAAATATACAAGATATCTTTAAAATTAAACTTTTTTCAGAATATAAGTGATACGATAGTTTTTGTGCAATGTCTATTACGATTTTATAAGGATAACTCATTAGATAGCGACGTCACTATGTCACTTATATTAAATCTAACCTATGTACTATATAACTACGTATTTTTCTAAAAACTTTTCAAATCAAATTAGCTTCCTGTCAAAATTAGTTTTGTCAAAATTACGAATTGAATCTGTCGCGTTAAATTCTATTTTCAAAATTTAAGTTCATTTCCTCATTACAAAATTAATCGTACTTATAATCATTCAAAATGTGTGATAAACGCCAATGCCTGCTCAACGATCTCAAATGCCTAGTCGCGAAGATCGGAGGCGATTGCTGCGGACCGCCATGTCCGTCACCATGTGGGCCTCCCTGTTGTCTTCCGGGTGTATGCGCCCCAGGAACGTGCCCCGCGCCTACTCAACCCGTTCCTGTATGTTTGAGCTGTCCCATGCCACCGCCTCCACCACTGTGTGTGCCGCCGATGATGCCAATATGTAAGCCTTGTGTGCCTCCATGCGTACCAGTTTGTAATCCCTGTCCTGAAGATCAGCCTTGTGTGCCCTGTAATCCTCCTCAAATGATGGTCGCCTATAGGATGCCCAAAACGTGTCCTATTTATAGAAGTAGATCTAGGGAATTGAGGTCTAGTATCTTGATTCTAGGTTGCGAATGCGAGAAGAAGAATGGACTGCAAGATGAATGCAGGAGATTTGAATGTAAAGGTTCCCCGGCCTGTAAGCTACCTGAGCCGTGTTGCGGACCTAGTGCCTTCGCTGGAGGAAAGCATTTAGGAAAGTATTTCACTGGTATTCCGGATTTAGAAAGGTACCAATGTTATCCAGCATTTGTCAGATTACCAGTATGTCCTCCTTGTGGTCCTTGCGGCCCGAGTGGTCCTTGTGGACCGTGTGGTCCATGCGGCCCATGTGGCCCTGGCGGTTGTGGTCCATGTGGTCCTGGACCATGTGGACCTTGTGGTCCGTGTGGACCATGCGGTCCTTGTCCCCCTCCCGCAGTACCATTGGTTGCGGCAGTTCCTCCACCTCCACCGTGCCCTGCGATATGCCCGCCACCATGTCCTCTTGGACGAGTATGTCCTGTAGCTCCAGCTTTGCCTGTTCCATTTTGTGTTCCCTGTCCACCATGTTCACCTTGTCCTCCTTGCGCCCCTTGCGGGCCATGTGTACCACCATTCGGAAATCCACCGTGTCCACCGTGTGGTCCATGTGGTCCCTGTGGTCCATGTGGTCCCTGTGGTCCATGTGGTCCGTGTGCTCCGTGCCCTTGTTAAATATAATTTGTGTTTTTTGCCATTAAAATGGAAATCTGTGCAATTGTTTAATAAAAAGAAAATCACTTTCAATATTTGTTTTAATATAATTTTAAGTTTTTAATGATTTAAAAAATCTATTTTAAAAAATGTATACCAATATTTTAATCTTAATCTAGAGTTGATTCTTCAAAATTACATAGTGCATATTTTTAAAAATGTTTTCTCAAGTAGTTCATACAATATACCAATGAGTAATTTACTGTTAAACTATGTGTCAATACTTATTTTGATTTTGGCCAGATATGGAAATTCTATGCCTGGTGAAAAACTTGAAAACCACAAAGCTGGACTGCAGATTTGATAAAATTATTTTTTAATTTGCAACGTTGCCTCCCGGGCTAAATGGTTTCATTAAAAAAATATTGTATTCGACCAATAGGCCAGCACTTCACCGTATGACAAGAAAAAAATATTTCAAAGTTTCTATTTTCTATTATCAATAATTATCATTATTTATTTAGTATTTATTTTGGTATTTATTCCTACTGTAACGAATTTGCCGCTTGATTTAATGAAACTATTTCGCCAATTTTTTGCTCATTGTCAGTAGAATATTCACAAAAAATCACCTACTTTGATGTTAAAAGATCATTGTTTGACCTTCCGAAGACGTAAATAATCATTATCAATGGCCATGGATTCGAGGCATAAAGCGGTACACGTAAATGTTTGCTAAATAAGTGTAAACGCATCTGTACATCCTTGCTCTAATCCTGATCTGATGCGATGCCATTTTTCGACCATTGGTGTAGATTATTAGGTCTCTACTAGTTTAAATACATAATAATTAATTTCTGAAACTAACTGGAGGTTATGAAATCAAAATTAGAAATTTGGGAGAGAAAAATGTTAATAAAAATGGACGATGCTATGTATTTAACATTTTTTTATCATATTAAATTAAAAAAGTAAAATTACACATAGATGCAAACAAAATTCTAAATAAAAAAATGATAAGACCTGCGGAACATTTTAAATATTCAGATAGACTGTCATAATTAATGAATCCTTAAAAAGTTAATGTTTTAGTATTAAATATTTACATTTAATTATTTAGATACAAATTATTTCTTTTTCTAGTATTATAAATTTGTTAAAATATGATGACAAAAGATTTTGTAACATTTTGTAAATACAAGAGTAGGTATACCATCGTTCAATATGTAAGCCTGCTTTCTATATGTAAACGATTTTAGAGTATTCCATTAAATATCGGTTTATACATGTTACATCTCAAAACAAACACCAACCCTCAGAGATCCTTCTATATTGGACGTCATCCTATATATTGCTTTTATGCATGCCTACCTATCTACCAAGCCTTGCATATTCGTTGATTCTAGAGGAGTCTAAATCAGACAATTTTTGCGTGTATAATAAGACCTTTTATTTATGTTTTATCAAAATTGAACATGAGTATGTTATGTTATGTTGATAATGGGGTGTTAATACACTGCGACCTAAAAGATCTATTGTGCCCCCTTCTGTCGCCACTGCACTAAGGAAATGTCTCAATGCCTATAGCGACCCTTCCAATCCTATTTTCTCAAGGAAGTGTAGGATTTGACGTGGCTTCAAGTTAGGTAAGTCTCCCTCTTCTATTTGATATCCTCCTAGATATAGTGCCCTTGGATGAACATGAGTATGTGTATGTGTATATAATATGTATTGCTTGTCATATACAATGCAATTTTCAATAGCAACAGGTGAAGTCCAGCTTAAGCTACTCAAAATAATATCAGGTATGTCACTAATATGGTTTCACCTTGTATGAAGACATGTAGTGGTAACGGATTTAACATGAGAAGTCCTTCTCATGGTTCCTTTAAGCTGTTGAATAGCGTCAACTTACAGAATTTTATGATTGGCTGGTTTGGAATGTCAGTCATCATATCTACAAATAAACAGTTGCTCAATGGAGCCCCGGAAAATGAGAAGGCCAGAGCGGTGACTTTAAAAATAATTTAAAAACGTGAAACGCAAAAATATTTTCTTTGCAATCTTCGAAGATAGCCATAGGTCTTAAAAATCGATAAAACGTCAACCCGTTTTTCTAGTATCTACGCCACTGGCCGAGATGATACTTTTGGGGCCTTGCAACGTAATTCTATCTATATACCAAGGTTCGATGCCAATTACGATAATAACTGAATAGACCGATCGCCTCTCTAATTGTTTTATGTAAATTCTGAATTGTTCTCCAAAGGATTCAATTTTTTTTACTACTTTTTATTGTGTAAAATTCTAAAATTGGCCGTTTTGGTGCTTAGAAATATTGGTCATAGTTTAATTTTGAAAAGTTAGTAGTTAAAAGATATAACCTCGTCAGGCGAGTATACAAGGGGCGCAATAGGAATAAGACTATTTTGCCAATTGTTCAAATTAGTACTCTTAAATATTTAAAAGAATATGAATATCAAAAATATTGTTTAAAATTACAAGTCTGGCAACGTCCCGCATTTTACTATAATTTCTCCACTTGAAGTGATTTCTCTTTCTTTACTACCCCCTTAGACATACAGTCCATTAATCAACTACAATTCAATTGAGTCAACTTATTGAACCATCTTCGTCTTATATTTCTATAATTTTTCTATATTTACCCTTTACCACATATTTTAAAAGTCATTTACCCCAACCTAGTTTTGACCCGTTTCTTCTCTAGTTCTTAAAAATGTGATAACATCAGAATGATTGTTTTTTTTTATAAGATTTTAACATTTTAATTAATTTAGAAATACGTGTAAAGATAATAACACCTTAAGAGTGAAGAGTAAAGAAGATTTTTCAGATGATAGTGTACAGGATGTGGTTACTTTAAACATTACAATTAACATCAATTATTACAGCTATTTTGTTTATGTATATTTTCAAGGTAGGTAACACGTTCTCAAGGGTAATAAAAATAGATATTTGTATGAGAAAAATCACAAATAAAATTCATGATAATAATTTTATTTGTGTAAGACCTGCAATAGGTTTAAAATAATTTATTCCTAGTTCCATAGTCCTATTCCATATTTTATTATTTATTATTTTTCTATATTTTTCATTACATGCCAATATTCAGCTTACCTATAAATATGGTAAGAATAAACAAAAGTACCAATATTCTCACAATAGCTATAACTATGTTACTAGTTTTTGAAAATCAAGAAAAATAATTAAAAAATGGTGTAGAGAAAGCAAAATTTAAAACTGCTTTACAGAAAATAATCTGCTACTTCTGTTAGCATTTCTTCTAGTGTTTTTTATTTTGTGGGATTATAAATTCTTAAATTACTATTTTTGGAACATCATTTTTTTAATTGGTTAAAAATTAATCACACGACGTTCAGTCAAAAATGTTAATAATAACAAAACCTTCTCCCTAAGAATATTGAGTTGAATTTAAACCAATTAAAAGATTTAGATCAACCTTAAACTTTTATGTTCTCATCAGTTTAGAATGTTTGTGATGTTGATATTCTTAATATGCGTTCGGTAAATGTTCACATTAAAATGTGTAAAATAGATAATATTAAATAATAAGGATGCGGATGTAAAGTGGAATTTCAAAGAATCTCATGGCATTTTAACGACGATGATGTAACACTATTAAAATTGATGAAAACTAACATTGAAACTGGTATGGATGGATTTTTGCGAAGTTCATCGATATGGCATGTCCCAAAATAAGAATTATCTGCTCTAATGAAAAATTGATATATTAATAACATGATAGTGACTTTTGATTGGAAATGCGGTTGCCACCTGTCAGTAAAGGGGCTATAGGAGTTCGAGCACAATTCTTATGGAAATTAACATGGGAAATCGCTAAGGTTCAAAATAGCAATTTTTGTCTCTTTCAAGGCCACTCGTCTTGAGACGTTTGACGTTTTCGATTGACGTTTCGTATGACGTTTTGCATGACGTTTCGTTTGACGTTTCGTCATGCGAAACGTTAATCGAAAACTTCAAACGAAACGTCAATCGAAAACGTCAAACGAACCATTAATCGAAACGTCATTTGGAACGTCAATCGAAACGTCAATCGAAATGTCAATCAAAAATGTCAAACGTCTCAAGACGAGTGATCTTGAAAGAGACAAAAATTGCTATTTTGAACCTTAGCGATTTCCCATGTTAATTTCCATAAGGATTGTGCTCGAACTCCTATAGCCCCTTTACTCCTGTCCTGTCTTGAAAAGGACAGTCCTTTTTTCAAATAATTTGTCCTTGTGACTTTTTAAACCTTAAAATGTTTTTTAGAAGGACCTGGTTTTTAAAAATATAAGCTGAAGAACTTTTTTTTATTAGCTCGGCAGAAGTAACTGGTTTTTTTTCTTTTATAAAGTTCCCTTTGGTCTTTGAATTTGTTTTAGTTTATGGATAGCTGTTAATTTTTGGGTTTTAAATACTCAAATAACTGCACCGTATGTTAGTATAACTCTAATGCGACGACTCTGGGGGAGATACCTCAGCAGAAAAGAAAGTAATGGTCGGAACTTTGAAGTTGAAGGGATAGAAATATTTGACCTTGAGTTCCACCACAGAGATACTCTGAGAAAACGTAACTATTCACAGTACACGCGAACGTAGCTATTCACTGAACATACACTGCGAAAACTACATTTCTCTTTTACAGAATTATGTATCATATTTGATGAAAATTTGCATGAATGAATTTTAAACTATTCTTGATTTAAGTAAAATATTTTTCAATTTGTAGCGCTTCTGACAGAGGTTTCAAAAATGAAAATTATAAAGTTTTAAACAATAGTTTATTTTACCCTATCATAATGAACTATTAATATTGTGCCACAAATCTGACAAGTCATTTATGATCCATAAGTATAAATCAATTGGGATAATTTTTAAAAAATCATTAGCTAAAACGTATTTTAGGGATTTTATAAATAAAAAAAAAAGAAAAATAAAAAACGTGTATTTATGCAATTGATAAGTTTACAATCTATGCATGTATTTTATTAAAATAGAATTTTTGAATGGAATTATTTTAAGATTCTTTTTTATTACATATGCAATAAGGATACTTATTATTAGTAATTATTAATAATAATTTATAATACCAATAAAACTAAAAATGAAATTAAAAAACAATAGTGAAACAAATATATACCTGATAATAGTACATAAATATATTATAAAAAAACGATAAAAAAAAAACAGTTGAGAAACTATGTACTCAAATTACGTACATGTTTAATTAGACTTATATTGTCTAAAAAAAGGATCACACGCCTATGACATATTTTGTTAAAGCTATTACATAGTATTCATAACATAACAAAATCGTTTTAAGTGTATGAAAACTAAAATAATTAAAATTGTTTATACACATTTATAGAGCAAGCCTAATTCATAATACATAGATAAGTAGCTTTATTAAAATAGCTACATCCTAATAAACAACTATGTAATAAGCTCTGCGAAATTACAATATCTGTAAAGGATTTTTTTAAAAATTGCTTGCAAATAGCATGCAAATCTTTCAATGTATATTCGGAGGCTGGATTTTTCTTCTTTTTTGCAACAAACAAACGTTTCCTTAACGTTGCTATCTTCAGTCGCAGTCTCTGCTTTCTTCGAGTGTTTTATGATAATACACTACTCGTTTGAATTTGTGCTGTTAGACAAGGTAGAGGAACAGATGGTTGACTATGAACTTGTTCAATAGATTCTACTTCTGCTGAAGTTGAGGGTAGGCACAAGTTGTCTTTGCCTTTTTCGCCATGAACAACAAATTTCTCTAAAAAAAAAAAGAAAGAAAAAATAAATTTTTATCAGATCAACTAGTTTTAAGAAGGTGCATAATTTGTCAGAATTAAATGTTTGAGTCACACTTTTTAGCCAGATGAAATTTAAAATAATTTCATAAAATGTGAATATATTTCTGTTCCTAGGAGGTAAACTGCACTATGTCATTCTAGTCAACTGTTTAGTGCAGCACATTGAATGTTGTTAAATTATTAAATTTCAACTAAATATGCATTTAGACACCCCATTTATTGTCACAATATTTGTATTTTTTACTAACCTAACTGATAAAACTACTTTATTTTAATTTGCATAAGTTGTTGTATGTCGACATAGTGCAGTTTACCTCCGAGGCAGTTCTTTTTTTTTTTTTTTTTTTGATTTATTAGTGGAAATCTTAAGTGTTTTACATTTTCTAGGACATATTGTTTTCCTATTTCCCTGCTATAGGAGTTATCCTCCTTTTCAGGGTGAAGGCAGTTCTATAAAATGGAATGTATGAGTTGATATTCTAAGATTATTAGTACTTATCAATTTATTTTTTAAACTACTAAATGTAATGTAAAAAATTAACAAGCGTGACAAGTAGCAAAGTTTTTGTAACATCTAACTATAAATTTTATTTATTTACCCTGCAGAACTGTGACTATTTTCATAGGTTCTGAGTGAGGAAATACAAACGGGAATGCATTTGCAAATAATCGTTTTCTTGCTCCTGACTGATAAAATGAATTTATCCTGGAAGTGCTGCAGTTCACAAATTTTGTTTACTTAAGTATTCAACACTATTTCCCAATAAGTCCTCTCTATTTGCTGCCTGAAGCCACAATTCAATTCTGAAAAATACATACAAACTTTGTACTACCATGTTATGGAAAGGTCAATTCCTATTTCACACTCAATGTTTCATACATACCTCACTGGATCTTTCACCAGAGTGAACAATCCTTCTTTGTCATCTGTTCTTGAGGTACATTCACGATAAATACGGGTATACCCTCCTCCTCTTTGACGCAGCATTGTTTATAAATCTAATCTTAATACGTACAATAAAGTCTTAAATGAACACTCCATAATTAAAAACAGCAACAAAAACTAAAGATAAACCACTAACAAAACGTAAAAGTTATTAGAATATTTGATAAAAGCAACTAAAAATCAGAAGACGACAGGCAAAAAAATATTGACAGCGACAGCAGTGACAGCTTCGTTCATCTGCTACAAAAGTGTGCACTGTTGCACTTCGAACAAGTAACAAATCTACGATTCATTTTTGACAATGATCCACCATAAAGAAGGTGTGGCTTCGGTTGCTAGGTTCCTGTTTCTTTTCTGTATCGTTCTTTATCCTGTGCCTCAGGTGCGTCCCACGGTTCGACGGCATTATTTATGAGCAAAGTTTTATTTTGGTTATACAAATAATATATACGATATATTTAAACAGATAGCACTTAAAAAACTTTAAATTGAGCCAAATTACGGCCTTCGAGAAATATTTGAACAATGGACAATGTAAATGTAAAACCCGTTTGTCTAAAATACATGCAAAAGTACTTGAAATATATAAATAAATTAATTAGATTGATTATAGTGTTAGCTAATCTATATAAAAAGATGATGATAAGTTAAACAATTTTGCTAAAACATTACATTATACTAGATAATTCGAATAACTGAATATTTGAATTTTCCAGAAACACAGATTAAACGTAGGGCATGATAAATTTCTGAAATTTATTTTTATCCAGAATAGTAAAATTGAAGTTCCTGAAATATCTATTTACTTAAAATTTTTAACTGGTCTAGTTAAAAATTTGAAAATTTCAGTTAAAATCAGTAAACAATCCTCGTAAATCAACAAAATATTAAAGATATATATTTTTTTAATAATAATAAAATGTAAAAATTCAAATTTTGGCTTGTATTGACCGTCCTAAGTCCTAATTAAATGTGCCAGATAGCATTTTTTACAAACAACATCCAATTGCATTTAATTTTAATATCAAAAGATAATAACTATTTAAGCAGCGCTGGCGGCAAGATAAATAATTCTATTACAATCATTAAGTGGCCAGTAATTGTGGGGGCACGGAGCGTGAAAAGATTTATGCACTTTTGGATTGTCTTCGGTCTTTACTTTTTTCAATAATGTATTACGAAATGTTTGTCGGAAAAAGAAAGAAGACCTTGCAGAAAATCTTTATAATTCTTGCAGTGAATCGGCTTGGTGCCGTTTTTACAATTACTTGAGTTTTCATCACAAATAAAGGTTAGTATCGAGCTATTTATTAACGGCTGCAAAGATTTCTGTAAATAATAATAAGTAGCGTATTTTCATACAAATATATCATAATTAAACATTGTGAAATCAGTATATATACCTACACCATATCAATCTAGTGTTACCACAAGTAAACAGGAGAAAGACGTAGTTTTAGGTCTTGGAAGATATAATGAGCGAGAGTTAATACTCGAAACCAGTAGATGGGCTGAGTCAATGCGATTGTTCAAAATCGGGATGACTGAGATTGAAATCTACGAAATAGAACATTTGTGGAATACCTCTTTGAGGATAAAGTTGGTTTCTCTATATTATCAAACTCTGTTTACTCTGATTTGTCTCCCATTTATTAAAATAGTCTACTCTTGAATATAGTTTAAGATCAGCATACAGAAGCACACTGCACTTCAAATCAAGATATAATTTATATAATAAATAACAAAGGGTCCAGTATGGATTCTTGGGGTACCCCAGAACTAGCATGCATTTCGATAGACTTCAACCGTTAATATACTGGCTTAAATTCATAGTAATTGTTTAGTAGGGAGTTTAGTTATTCAAACTAGTCTATTTACATTTTTTTTTTATTTCTTTACACTGTTTTTTGATACCAATGGTACTTATGTATACAACAACTCAAAAATAATATTCCCTGTGACAAAATAGGATTTCAGTACAGCTGTCACCACTTGTAGCGAACAATCTGTTACCTCTTGCAAGAAAGAGAAAAAGATCTTGACAAAATTTTGAAATTAATTTTACTTTATCTACTACTACAGTTGTTAGCACAAATACCAATTAGTAAAATTTTGCAATAAAACTCTTCGCTAAGCAAACGTCAGGTAATTCCTCCAACTACGTGTACCAACTTCAAATAATTTCATTGAAAAAAAAAATCGCCTCTTATTACGTGAAGGTTTTTATCCAAATAAAGAAAATAACTGCAATGACATTCAAGCATCGATTGTTGTTAACTGTAAATAAGTTGTTTCACAATTATACTACAACGTTCTTTGATTTATAGAACATCTGAACAATATTTTTTTTATTGGATATAAATAATGAGCAAATTGATAATTTGTCTACGTTATTCCAATGATTTATGTAGGAATGACGGATGTAACTTATTTTTTTTGCTATTAACAAGAACCACATTCCTAAAATGTTTTCGTAAAAAAATTTCCCTTATACTTGATACCTGAATGTTCGATGCAATTCAATTTCAAGAGTTCGTATATACAAACTTTTTTTTGTAAATTTGACAGATTGAGTAGCGGTTAGTAGATTTGGTGCAAGGTTGTGGAAAAATGGGATTAATTTTTTAAAACTTGAGGGCGATTTTGGAAAGTTTGAATAATTTACGTAAAGTTGGGATTTGTCGAAAATAATTCTCTAATTAATTTTCTATTTTGTGTTGAATAAACTTTAATTAAGTTCATAATGAAATGGACTTTAAATTTATCTATATCCCTAAATTTTATAATAAAACAATGCTTTAAACGAATTTATTCTATACGTATTTTTAAACGAGATTCTACAGAAACTAGTAGAAGTAAAAGCTCTCAATGAGTAAACATTTTGTGGTAAATAGATGGTATATACCTGTCTATTGTGTCACTTTGCGCACGTAAGACATAATAACAATAATATAAATATACTTATATGCAATAATAACCGCAAAGTTGAACGCTCATCAAGACAACAAAATGGACAATAACCTTTTCCTCTTCGTTCAAATGCCGTTGGTCTATTAAGCAACTGCTAATTGCTGAAATAATACAGAGTGTCCTCGAAAAATAAGAGTAAATAGTAAAACAAGAAATAAACATCGTTTCTAAGATTAAAATAATAGGACGTTCAGTGGCGGCCTGTTCTAAATATTTTTGGGTATTCTGCGCACGATGAAAAATAAATGTTAACACTCACTTTTTTTAATGTATAGCTATTTATTCGGCACCTCCAGGGGGCTCCCCCACAGTTAAGAAACATTGGCCTTTGGTATGAAAACTTCTTTATGCACTATATTTTAAAACGACTTAACCAACTATGATTCTAAAATTAGTTGTCAATTTGAATTCTTTTAAGAATTTAGGTTTCTTATTAATAATTTTGAGGAATGTCGTAACAAATGACAGTTTGTTGTTATTCATAACTATAGGAGACAGAAAGTCCTTATTCACTCACATATTACATGTAATAAATATACAAAAAATAACCTTCTGTTTATAATAAATTAACCAAGTTAATCAAATTAGCAATTAATATACGTTAATTTAAAGTACCTAGATTAAATTAATATTGATTGCCGAAAGGCTTTTATAAATTGGAGAAGTTTCTCTTTCTTTAATTTGACCATTTAATATGCAAAAAGGTTTAATTTGTGATTAAGTATTTTATCACTTTTAATTTTAGTCCAAATTGTCGTAGCTAACGATTTCTACAAACGGTACCTAATATAGAATATGGTTTAGTGCATTTTAACCTAACACTCGACCAAATTTTCGGGAGGGAGGGTGAAAGGGACTTTGTTATTAGCCATTTCCTTTAAGTATATTTTCTTAAATAAAAGGATCATGAAAGTTGTAATGTCTTTGGTTTCACTCAATAAATTTTTGGAATAACAATTTTAAAATTACCCCCATGTAAAATCTTGAGATACTAACGTTATTATAATAAAGTGTAATAGAGTTGGGCGATATTTCACTTAACCGTTATTTAAATATTTGACTATTGAAAAACTTCTTTGCATGTTTTTCTATTGATTTCATAAACGTTTTTAGAAAATAATAACGAATATTTGAGGAAACAACTTAATTTATTTTAATTTCACTAATAACAGTAATTATTTACAATATAAATATTTAAAAAAGCTTTATGAATACGGATGTTATTAGTTTTTTATTTTTCAATTTACTAACGATTTTTTTTTAATAAAATACGTTGGTAGTGCATCCTTGTATAAACAAGTAGGTACATCTTCAATTCTGATAACGATTTTATGTAACGGATGACCTTGAGAGCGCGTACTTTCACTAAATCCTAGTTTCAATGTCAGGACGACTCTACTTTGAACATCGATAATTTTTTTTTTTTTTTTTTTCTAAAAATCATGATTACTTCTGCAGCACGACATTCTTTTATCAGCATCTATACAAATATCGACATCTGTGATCATCGTGATATGTGTAAAAATAAAAAAAAAAAACACGCGAAAGAAATCTATCGAATTATACGAGGATAGAACAGAAATTTTTGCAAAATTATAAAGCAAAGTGTAGCTTGAAACAAAATATTTTTTAAATAAAAATTCTTTACAAAATTTTTCAAATCCTTTTTTCAAAATTATCACTATGAAATATTTTTACACGCCCAAAGTAAAAATAAATTAATTGAAAAATTATAAAATATAAATGTAATGTGTGAGTAGCTATTTAAAAGGTTTATAAACAAGTGTAATATGTATGTACCTTTGAAAAGTCTTTTAAATGGATGTAAAACGAAAGTACCTAAGAAGGTATGAGAGTATATTATTTTTGTACCTATTGAAAAGGTATTAAAATAAATTTAAAACGAAAATAGGAGAGTATAGTATGTAAGTACCTATTTAAAAGGAGTTAAATGAATATAAAGCGAAAGTACCTAAGAATGTATGAGTGTATAGTGTGTATGTACCTATTGAAAATAAGTTTAAAGTAAAGTAACTATGTAGGTATGAATGTAAAGTATATGTGTACCTACAGAGAGGTTTTAAAATGAGTTTAAAGTAAAGGTGCTAATATAAAAGGAGTTAAAAAATATGAAAATAGCGATACCGATTAAAGGTATATACGAGTACCTAAATAAATGCATATGAAATGCAATTGTTTGATCCTGACTGTGAGATTAAGATAATATAATATAGTATGTCACTGATGGGGTAAAAACACCGAAACAACCCTGTATGTATAAGTTTTTTTGACTCTATTTCGTTTACCTATAGAAAGAAGGCTTCAAATGAATGTAAATATAAGATGTGGTAAACGAAATGTGAAACATAGAATTCCTATATGAGGCTTTAAGTAAATGAATAAAATTTATTAAATAATGTTTTTATTACCAAGATTTAAATGACTGAAAAGTTTGAATTTTACCGATAGATTGTTTAAATGATTATTTTGTAAAAATTTTAATTTACTTTCTAAAATATGAATTAAAAGAAATTAAAACTATGTTTCATTTTAGGGACATATTCTATATTGGGTACAAAAATACAACTTTCTATCGAATATTTTTCTGTGACTCCTGTATTGTGTTAAGATTTTCAAAATTACATTGGATAATATTAATATCGTGAAAAAGTATGGCGGAAGTCCAACGAAATACTTGTATGTAAATTTGAGCACAAACAAATATTAAAGAGCTAACTTAATCGAAAATAAAAAAAAAATTAAGGATTAAATTTACTATTAATCTAGCAATAAATGTTTTTTACATTCGTAAATTTACATAGTGACAAATAAATGTCTGATTTTAATTAATTTTTAATTTATAAATCATAATTTTAGAATTTAAACTAACTTTTTTATGATGAAAATATTTAAATTGTATTTATTTATTAACCCTTTTAAAAATTTTGCAATAAACTTGTGCATACTTATAGGTAATTTAAGAATTACAAATTTGATATATCTAATATAAATAATAACAGTTGTCAAACACATCACCCATCTTTTAATCTATGTACGATTTGGTGCTTAGGTATTTATCATTTATCCTTATCAGTTATTTTTGTTTTCGTGATTATTTTCTTCATCAATTATTATTAATTACAAAATACTATAACCAGGCCTACTCTAGACGCACTAGAAACAAAATTTGTTCGTGCTGATAATTTATGCGTTAAAACCTCTAAGCGTCATCCTTCAGACTTTTCAATTCATTCTTGTACGATGCCGATTATTAATTAAAAGCAATCACGACTTCACACCTAGTAGCCATCACTTTGACGA